CAATGGTGGAGAAGACATGTATTCTTTCAGGCTTTCCAGAGCTTGGTCGCATTCTTCGTCCCATTCGAACTTGGCTTTTAGTGCATGGAATAATGGTCGTAGTCTGTCTGATGACCGGCTTATGAACCGATTGAGCGCAGCTGCCATGCCAGTGAGATGCTACACTTCTTTCACGGAGTTTGGTCTCTCCAAATACTGGATTGCTTTGATCTGGGAGGGGTCTGCTTCTATTCCCCGGTTGGTCACAAGGAAGCCCAGGAATTTACTAGAACCTACTCCGAATGCACACTTGGATGCGTTAAGGCGCAACTTGTGCTTCTTCAGGATTTCAAACATTTCTCCTAAGTCTTTGAGATGGTCATTCTCATCCTTGCTCTTGACTACCATATCGTCGATGTAAGCCTCCATTGTTCTGCCTAACAATGGTTCAAACATCTTGGTGACCATCCGTTGGAATGTTGCCCCTGCGTTCTTTAGGCCAAAGGGCATGACCTTGTAACAGTATAGTCCTCTTGGAGTTGTAAAGGATGTGACCTCCTGGTCTGGTTCATCCATGGCGATTTGGTGGTAGCCTTTGTATGCATCCAGAAAGCTAAGTCGGTTGTGTCCCGCCGTTAGGTCTACCAGTTGATCTATTCGTGGTAGAGGAAAGCTGTCTTTTGGGCACGCTTTGTTGACTGTTTTATAGTCGACGCAGACACGCCATTTGCCATTCTTTTTTGGCACTATGACTGTGTTGGAGATCCATCTTGGGTAGTGTACTTCTCTAATTGCTCCTGCCTCCAGCAGGTTACCTACTTCTTCCGCCACTATCTCGGCATGGTGGAGTGCCGATCTGTGTGTGCGTTGGATGATTGGTCTGGCAGATGGGTGGACATTAAGTTGGTGACTTATGAAGTTTGGATCAATGCTTGGCATGTCGTAGGGCGTCCAGGCGGACACTTCGATGTTAGAGGCCAAGAATTCTAAGACCTCTAATCTCTCAGTGCTGGACAACGACGAACCGAGCAAAAAAAACTTATCCGGGTTCTTTTCATCTATTCTTACCTCTACCAAGTCCTCAACTGCTTTCTGATCAGCCGCTTTGCCGACATCTGCGAATAACTCATTGCTCTCAGGCTCTTCCAACGAATGAACGTATCCTTTGGCAGAGCGGCTGCCGTTCACCGTGACGAAGCATTGCTTGGACATGATCTGATCTCCATAGACTTCTTCAATTACCCCGGTATCGTTGGGGAACCGCATTACTTGGTGGTAGGATGACGCCACTGATCACATGGCATGCAGCCATGTTCTGCCCAAGATGATGTTGTAAGTGGAGGGGACCTTCAATACCCAAAACTCCACTTGTTTCGTCACACTTCCTGCTCTGACTGGAAGAATTATTTTACCGACGGGCCATTCTGGCATGGAGTTGAATCCAATTAGAGGAGATACGGCAAGCGCCAAGTCTTTGTCTTGCAGCTTCAATTGTTTAAATGTTTCGTAGTACATGATTTCACATGAACTGCCCTGGTCAATCAGAATCCGCTTGACGTCAAAATCCTTGACTCGGAGAGTGACGACCAGTGCATCATTGTGAGGGTAGTATATTCGTTCCAAGTCTTTATCTGAAAAAGACATGACATTTGTTGCCTCTGTTTTTCCCTTCTTGATGGCAGGTTGGGCACTTAGCACCTCTCTAAAGTGCTTAGCCTTTTTGATTGATCCCCTGAGCTCGCATACACGCTCAGGTTCAAAAACTCCATGTATCACATTGATAATGCCTTGAGGCAGGGCGTCGATTGGCATCCCATTGGGGTTATTATGGTCCTGGGGAGCTGGCTGCGTCCCTCCTTCAATGTATTTATCCAAGTGACCTGCTGCCACCAACTCCTCCAGGTGCTGTCTCAATGGTGTGCAATTCTCAGTGCGGTGCCCCTTTTCTTTATGGAAGGTGCACCGCGATCTTTCGTCGTAGTCTTTCTGTGCTTCTCCTAGCTTGGCTGGCCACTTGACGAAAGGCTCATCTCTTATTTCACTTAGAATCTGATATATCGGTTTCTTGAACACCGTGGTTATGGTAGTGTGGATTCTCAACCATCTTTTATCCGGGTCTTCTCCGTTATCTCGTCTGCCACGTCCGTTTCTGTTCGGTCGATCTACCGTATTAACCTTTGCTGAGGTCTTTTTTTCTGGTACTGTGGTTGCCCCAGATTTTGCTTTGGCACGTGCGCCATCCTCTTCTACCCTGATGTGCTCATGCACTTTTTCCATCAAGGCTTCCATGGTGAGGGGTGGCGTCATGGTAATCGAGTCCCTTAGTCTGTTCCCGACTAGAAGGCCTCTTTTATACTGTGCAATGGCGAGATTGGTGGGGCAGTCCCCAATCTGATTAAATGTCTCCTAGTAGCAACTATTGTAGGATCTTAGGGTCTCTTTATCGCCCATGTCGATGGAGAGTAGCTGGTCGATCTCCACCGGGGTTTTAGTGTTTGATCGGAACCTTGTTACGAATGCTTCTGCCAATTGCGCCCAAGAGGCTATGCTGCCCTCTGGAAGTTTCTCGAACCAAGTCAAGCCTAGGTCGCCAAGGCTAGATGGGAAGAGTATGCACATTAAGGCCTCGTTTCGCCTGTATACAGCCATGACCCTGGCGTTAAAGTGGCTCAAGTGTGAGTAGGGGTCCGTCTTCCTTTCATATGTAGTGAATTTGGGCTGAAGGAAGCCTGATGGTAGGGGCGCGTTTTCAATCGCCGGAACAACGGCGAAGTCTGCAGCCTTGCTAATGCTCTGTCCGTTGGTTGTAGGCAAGGCGCGTATTGGCATTCCAACTCGACGCTTCATGCGTCCGAGGAGCCAACCGCTGTAAGGCAGAAATTCTGTGTGGATCACGTGCCTTGGCATCCTCCTTGCATCGTGCCTTTTCTTCAGCACGGTTTGTAAGTCGGATGATCTGGGTAACTCCGTCTGTCTAGATCTGGTTTGGTGCGAATGTGAGGGCAATACGTGCTTCCTTCAATGTATGATCTTTCAGATCTCGTCTCTCAGACCTGGAGTGACGAGTTCTGGAGACCTGGATTGAGTATCGCCTGTCCTGAGGCTTCTGCTCTCTCCTTGCGAGGGTGTGGTATTCCTACTACGATTTTCTGAGTGGCGAGAGGGCGTCTGTTTTTGCGCTCTTCTCCTGTCGCCACTTCTTTTCTCTTTATCTGGTGCTTCAAGGCCTCCATGTCGCGCGCATCTTCCTTATTAATTCATCTTGCTCCTTTACGCGGTCTTCCAGTGCTGTTAGTCCGCCTCCTCCCCCTTTTGTATCCCTCCTGGGATTATGTCGTTGGGGCTCCAAATCTGCCATGAGAGGGATAGAAGGTAGTCCTTCACGCCTTGAACCCCCATCTGGTGTTTGCCCGTCGATGGTGGACTGGCGGTAAATCTTCATTGTGCGCCATTGTTTCTAAAGAGGAGAAGCTTAGTCAAGAGGTTTTGTTCTTGTCTCAATTCCACAGACGGCGCCAATTGTACGGGAAAGAAATAAACCTTCTCGTATAATCCTGTTGATTAAGTCTGCGCTCCTATGTACGTCGTCGCTTTATCACCTGAAAACACAAACGTGAGCTAGCCGGCGGGTGTATGCCGGAAACCTCTCCGATGCCTAAGTCAGTAAGCTTGACAAGTAGACAAAAGCTCTGTGTATTCAGAAAGTAAAGTTGTGTGTTACCTCTCCAAAGGTGATGTTTGTGAACTTTTATAGGTTTCGTGTAGCACAATCCTAGTAGGACTTCTACTCCTCTATGCAGAGTCCCGCTAGGATTCATACTCCTGAAAGATAATGCTTATCCTTCAACACCCCCCTCACTGCTTAAACCAAGTGAGATGGTTCTTCTATGGCCGGGCTACCACGACCGAAGTAAAATGACCATGTTATGCTAGCAACCACATGGCCGAGAGTCAACTAGCCTGGCCTGTTACTCCGCAGTTTGTACCTCGGTTTCCCTGCGGAGACCGAGCTAAATTAAGAGTGAGGCTTGCTATGTCTACATCATGCCTCGGTTCCAAATAGTGCGGCCGAGCTAACCACGCCTATGGTAACCAAGATACCTATGCAAGATTATGACCGAGTTAACTTAGTGCGACGATCGAGCTTACCTCGGGACCGGCGTAACTTCAAGATTCTCCTAGACCGGTCTAACTCTATGGCCTTTTTACTCAGCCCTTCGTATTGCGGTCCAAAACGGCCCATTTACCCAACTCGGCCCAATTTTCCATACAAATTACCCTCACAGTATAGTTTTTAATAAATTAAAAGTTAGAAAAAAAAAATGGATATTAAAACTTTGATGTAATTTTTTGTAAATTAAAAATTAATAATCAAAAAAGTCAAAAGCCAAATACACGCCTCCCTTAACTTTAAGATAATTATTATTTTTTAACTTATTTATGTTATTTTTATCTATTTTATAATAATGAACTTTTTTGAATTTATATAAAGTATTTTTAGCTTACCCTGATTAATCCTAGAACTAGCTATGACGTTTAGCGACTGGACAAATTTTTCCAATAATCTTACATTTTATAGTAAAGGCTTTACCGCAAAAGAATTATGATATCTGTTTTTTTATTTTATTTTATTTTATTTTAATTATGATATCTATTGTAAGAGCACAAAGTTGATCTATCCATTAAAGCGCGAAGGCTTGATCAATGATGCAATTTGTGAGAAGTGGACTTGATCCAATGATGCTTGTTGGTCTTATGTTTTTAATTTTTTTTTTCCCCAATATATTGGAAATTAATTAAAAGTACGAGAAATTACATCAAATTAGAAATTTATATCTATATCTATATCTATATAATATATATAAAGCACGGATGCAACGTGAACAGTAATTTCAGCCATATATGAACAGTGTTTTGTAATAGTTGAAAAGTCAACTTTGCCCTTGTGCTTTATAGCTTTGCTTCTTTGGATGCCAGGGTATTGATGGAAAAATATCTTCAAATTACTTACAGCTGTTTATCAAATCAAAGAATCCATGTAGCCACTCTCTCTCTATAATCTGTCCAGATAACCCTCCCTTCTCTTCTCAAAGTCGATCTAACCCTCCCTTCTCTTCTCAAAGCCGATCTCCCTCCACAGACCCCGATATTCCAGCACCTCCTCCTTACTCTGACCGATCTCCTTCCTCCTCTCACCGATCTCCTCCCTCGTTTCTCCTCTGGCGACCACGGATGACGTCTCCTTTGTGGTGCCGATTTGTTTGATTTTGTGGGTATTCATAGTGTTCACCAGCGAATCAAACGAAAATTGAGCCCAAGAATGGAAGAATACGACACAAGCTTCTATTAAGGTAAAGACATAGATGAAGAATGTTAGGTATTTTGATTTTAGGTTCATTTTGATCCAGTTAGGGTTTGTAAAGTGTTTTAATTTTCTTTGGTTCTGTTAATTAGTTGGGGTTTGCATGATGTTTACTGTGTGTATATTTTGTGGCTTCTTTTTTTTCATTAGGGTTTCAATTTTATTATTGTTTTAATTTTCTTTGGTTCTGTGTTCTTTTTCTTTCTCATTAGTTAATTTAATTTAATTTTTTTCATTTTATTCTGCAATTTGGCTTACAATTTGAGCTAAAAAATTAATTTTGTTGATCATATTTTGTGCTGAGGCCTTTGGGATTCTATGCTTAATATTAGGATTTTTTTTGTCTGGTTCATTTTGAGGTAGTGCACTATTTTTTGCCTCGTTTTGTTTTTTTCCCTTGAAAATGTAGACATTGATCGAGTTACGAAATTTAAGCTATTTGGTCTCAAAACTAATTAGATTTTATTGATTGGTAGATCATATGACATGTAAACAAACGATGGTGGTTCACTCTATCTCTGGCTCTGTTTCTTTTCATCCACTTATGTTAACTGAACAATTTATTTGATTTGATGACTTTATGGGTTTCTATTTAGAGAGAAAGAGACGAGTATTACTTAAGAATTTACAAATAAAAAATGAAAAAATGTATATATATAGTGTAGATAATGTGTTATTATGTAATCATTGTAATAAATTATGTGAATATATATATATATATATATTTATTCATTTGAGATTCACTTGTGTATATTGCAGGAAATAATTTTGTGTGAGCTAATTTCTTTCTTGCTTTTGCATTTTGATTTGATTCAATTCAATTATTTTGGAAAATTTGTGAATTCGCCTAATTACTTAAAAGCATTTTGGTTGGATTTTTTTTTTTTGTTTTTTTTTATTATCAAAATTTAATTTTTCTTATCTCTGGGTTAGCTTTTTATTTTTGTGTTTGATCATGACTTATGGGTGTTTGTAATCTGGAAGATTAGGTGTTATGTAATATTAGTTAAGAACTTATTTTATTGATTTTAGTTACTCATGAATATCAATTTTTCAATGGGTGTTTGTGTTTCTTTCTTTTCTACTTTTTAAATCTTACCGCCTAAATCAAACTTCATAAAGTTTCATTTATACCTAAACTATAGTATGTTGGTTGATGCTTAGTCAGAGTATAATGTTCCATTCTCCTCCCGTTTTCTTTTGATTAACAACATTAGCGAAGAATGTATTTAAAGTAGCATCATCTACCCAAGATACTTTAGTTTGCTTACCAATCTAACACATGATCAAATAAACTGTGTAAATCATCAGCGCCAATTGCTTTTTGGTTGCAAAGCTTACAACGCCCTTTTGACATTACATTCTTTTCATTTTATTTTTTATTTTTTTATTATGGTCTACCTTTGTATTGCTTTTTTATTCCTTTGATTAAATTGAAAAATATATCATCTGTGTCAAAAGTTCAATAAACCTCAACTATTTCTTAAGATCACTTTTAAACGTTGATTTGAATGGTTAAAGGTCCAATCTTTTTTCTTCATTGCTTTTTTTTTTTTTTTTTTGGGTGGGTCAATGCCTTAGGCCACTATGGAGGGTTAAATAGAAATGTGAGGAAAACTACACAGCCATTGGAGTCTTCGCCAATGGTTTGTTTCATATTTTAGTGGTTTCATATTTCTTTGTGATGTGAGTTTGCAATAAATTTTGTAATTTCCTCTCTTACCTTTAGTAGATTTTGTTACTTGCTTCATAATTTTTTTTTTCCATTTGTGTAGCATTTAATAAACAAATTGTAGGTGTATAACAACAATCATCTAGACATGGATATGCATTTCTTCTTTCTCTGGTTATGTGTGCACAAATATGGGATTTAAGAGAGTTGTTGTAGGCTAAGATTACACTTTCTTCGTCTCTATTGCAGGGAAATAATGGATTTTGTTACAACAATATAGTCTGTCAAATACATAGGATTAACAAGATCAAGGTAAGTACCTTCCAACATTTAGCTATCATAATTTCTGAAACCACAAATTAAAGGTAATTGTTACTTGATAATTTGGGCACATAATGTTTTAGATAATTGTTATAATGATCTCAAGCATTATATGTTCATTATTTCAACTTAGACAAAACAAAAACTACATTGAATAAATTATACAACAAAAAGTGTTCCCTTTATGAAGTAGGCTACTTTTTAGTTAGAAAACAATTTGTTAATTTCAACAAACAAATGTTTGCATTTCGCATGATCAACTCTAAAACATTTGATATAATTTCACAATTGCACTTTTGTTTTCATTTTTCTTATCTATCCAGTGTACAACCAAACTTTGAGTTAAGAGAACTATGTGGGTTGTCTAGAGTTCCCCCTTTCTTCCCTACATCTACGCCGCTGCTTCCTCTCATCTTTTCCCCATTTTTTCTTTTCTTTTCCCCTTTTTTGTGTTGCCCATTAATCAATGTTTTTTAATATTTGTGTTTGCTACAATACATTTTTAATGAAGAATTTGTCCTTGAATGAATAAAGGAGAATTTTCTGAATGCTTGACCAGGTCATGCATTGTTAACACCACCACAAATTCCTTGCATTTTGAATTTTCTAATGCCATAAAAGTTTTTTTATTATACTTCAAAATTGAGCAAAACCCACATAAAGACAAAAGCATGTTAATCATAAAGACAAAAGCATGATTGAACCCATTAATCTCCAATCATAGAATGTTACAGAAGGCTTTATTATACTTGACAATTCTTAAAAATGATAAGAGTATTGCAAAATTCATTACGAAACCAAATAGGAATCCACAATCACAATACCCAAACGAGCTGAATACCACATGTCAAATTTTTAATTTAACCGCAAAAACAGCTTAGCAAAAACCCATTAATCACCAACTATGTAATGCCATAAAAGTTTTTTATTGTACTTCAAAATTGGGCAAAACCCACACAGCAATACAAAATTCATTAGAAAGCCAATCGTGCAATTCAGGTGAAGATTCAATGTAGATCGAACTTTTGATTCACTTGTGAGATCCAAGTAGTTCGGGGGGAAGAGGTGTGGGGCATAAAAGTGGAGAAAAGCTGCAGAAATTCCTAAATCACAAAATTTAGCTATTGATTATTTCTCCACACAAAGGAGGAAGACCCATCGGTGACTACCGCCACCGTTGACATCTGCCCAAGGCAGCTAAGCAGCAAACGAGCTCTTGCACTTCTCCCTTCTGCTAGAGTTCTCACACTCCCCTCTCCCATCGTTCAGGTTCGCTTTTCAGAAGTTGGGGTTTTCATACATACAATATTTGATATTTGTTTTTAATTTTTTTTCTTCCCTGTTCATCGATTTTCTCTTCTTGTGAAAATAGTTTTTTTCGAATAGTTTTTATGAGTTGCAAAAAAAAATTGCAATGACCAAACCCTAATTTTACCCCTTTTTTTGGGCCGCAAATCATAATCCCAACAGAATAATATGATGTTTTATACCTAAATCAACTAAAGATGATGCAAGGGAAATAGAAAAAAATAAAAATACGTGTACTATTTTTTTGGGATCCTACCTAATAAATTAGGATTTCTTCATCTTTATATCTTTAGGTAAAGTATATTATTTTGTTCTATTATTATTATTATTATTATTATTATTATTATTATTATTTGTTTATAGGGGAAAATGGTGTTTAATTTTCTTCATTTTTGTTGGTTTTTTTTTCATTTATTTTTTATGTTTTGATTTTTTTTCTTGTTTTTTCTTTTGATTTTTTTCGTTTTTTTCGTTTTTTTTGTTCTTTATTTTTTTTTCGTTTTTGTTTCTTGCTTTTGTTTATGTTTGGTTTTTATTTTTTCTCCCAAGCAGTAAATTTACAAAGGTTAAGTCCAAGTTTGATTTGACATTGGTGTTCGGCTTTCTTTAGGGTTAATATTGTATTTATTCTGAAATTCAATCTTATATGGGTAAAGGGTAAGGGCTGGAGATGCTCTTTGTTGTTTTTTTTTAGTGTAAGGTTGTTGTGAGCAAAAATTTATATTCATGTTATGTTGTTATGCTAATTGTTGTTTCTCTGGTTCGACCTTTTTATATGTTGTTAAATTTATTCATATTAGTTTGTAGATATTTATAATACGCATGATGTGAAGGTAATGTTTAGAGTTGTATAGTGATATGTATAAATCTTCATACGTATCTATGATTTTAATTTTTGTGTTATTATCGTGCTTGATATATTTCTTTCATTGGTTGTTGATTCCCCCCTCTCCCGGCTCAAATTTGTTATTATCTTATTCGTTCAAATATTTTTTTTTTGGTTCTATTTTTTGTGTGTTATGTAACATCCAGCAGATCTTGAGGGATCTTACACAAGGGTGATTTGAGGTTTGTTATGTATTTTCGGTAGATTATATTTGTTTCTTGGTATTTCTTTCTCATTAATTTTTTTTTTTCATTTTTATTCTACAATTTGGCTTACAATTTGTGCTAAAAAAAATTAATTTTGTTGATCATATTCTGTGCTGAGGTCTTTAGGATTCTATGCTTAATATTAGGAGTTTTTTTGTCTTGTTTATTTTGAGGTAGTGCACTATTTTTTGCCTTGTTTTTTTTTTTCCTTCAAAATGTGGACATTGATCGAGCTACAAAATTTAAGTTATTCTATATAAAATTAATTAGATTTTATTGATTGGTAGATCATATGACATGTAAAGGAACGGTGGTTGTTCACTCTGTCTTTGGCTCTGTTTCTTTTCATCCACTTATGTTAACTGAACAATTTATTTGATTTGATGACTTTATGGGTTTCTATTTAGAACTCAAATTTCAGTTTCTCAATATTTGATGTTGATTTTGCATAATTTTTCCATCACGGTCCCAAATGATTCACATCCCAACACATCAACAACCTCCTCCACTTCTCCCTCTATCAAGTCTTTTATCGCTCATTTTTTTACTACATCACTGAGGGAAAACTCCTCACCATTGCCATCGTTTAGATCAAATTGTTTTCTAACACCTTAATGTCTTTCACTATATATGTGTTTTATCTATTTATGTAGTGTTTCAACCCATTAGTGACTGTGTTTGTGTCGATAGAGAGAGAGAGAGAGAGAGAGAGAGAGAGACAAGGATTACTTAAGAAGGATTACTTAAGAATTTACAAATAAAAAATGAAAAAATGTATATATATATATATATAGTGTAGATAATGCGTTATTATGTAATCATTGTAATAAATTATGAGAATATATATATATATATATATTTTCATTTTGAAATTCACTTGCATATATTGCAGGAAAAAATTTTCTGTCTAGAAGATGCACCATCAAAATCACCTCAGAGGAAGCTGCTTGCATCAATATTTTGTGTGAGCTAATTTCTTTCTTCCTTTTGCATTTTGATTTGATGCAATTCAATTATTTTGGAAAATTTGTGAATTCGCCTAATTACTTAAAAGCATTTTGGTTGGATTTTTTATTTTTATTTTTATTTTTAATCAAAATATAATTTTTCTTATCTCTGGCTTAGCTTTTTATTTCCGTGTTTAATCATGACTTATGGGTGTTTGTAATCTGGAAGATTAGGTGTTATGTAATATTAGTTAAGAACTTATTTTATTGATTTTAGTTACTCATGAATATCAATTTTTCAATGGGTGTTTGTGTTTCTTTCTTTTCTATTTTTTAAATCTTACCTCCTAAATCAAACTTTATAATGTTTCATTTATACCTAAACTACAGTACGTTGGTTGGTGCTTAGTCAGAGTATAATGTTCCATTCTCCTTCCCTTTTCTTTTGATTAACAACATTAGCGAAGAATGTATTTAAAGTAGCATCGTCTACCCAGGACACTTTAGTTTGCTTACCAATCTAACACACGATCAAATTAACTGTGTAAATCATTAGTGCAAATTGCTTTTTGGTTGCAAAGCTTACAACACCCTTTTGACATTACATTCTTTTTATTTTATTTTTTAGTTTTTGATTACCGAAGAAGAAATAATATTTTATTAGAGATGATAAACAGGAATCCAATAAACAGTAGACATTAGGATAGACAATTCTAAAACTACAATCTTTCCCATAAAATCCTAACTCACCCATTGCATCAATATTTTGTGTGAGCTAATTTCTTTCTTCCTTTTGCATTTTGATTTGATGCAATTCAATTATTTTGGAAAATTTGTGAATTCGCCTAATTACTTAAAAGCATTTTGGTTGGATTTTTTATTTTTATTTTTATTTTTAATCAAAATATAATTTTTCTTATCTCTGGCTTAGCTTTTTATTTCCGTGTTTAATCATGACTTATGGGTGTTTGTAATCTGGAAGATTAGGTGTTATGTAATATTAGTTAAGAACTTATTTTATTGATTTTAGTTACTCATGAATATCAATTTTTCAATGGGTGTTTGTGTTTCTTTCTTTTCTATTTTTTAAATCTTACCTCCTAAATCAAACTTTATAATGTTTCATTTATACCTAAACTACAGTACGTTGGTTGGTGCTTAGTCAGAGTATAATGTTCCATTCTCCTTCCCTTTTCTTTTGATTAACAACATTAGCGAAGAATGTATTTAAAGTAGCATCGTCTACCCAGGACACTTTAGTTTGCTTACCAATCTAACACACGATCAAATTAACTGTGTAAATCATTAGTGCAAATTGCTTTTTGGTTGCAAAGCTTACAACACCCTTTTGACATTACATTCTTTTTATTTTATTTTTTAGTTTTTGATTACCGAAGAAGAAATAATATTTTATTAGAGATGATAAACAGGAATCCAATAAACAGTAGACATTAGGATAGACAATTCTAAAACTACAATCTTTCCCATAAAATCCTAACTCACCCAATTGGACAATACATTAGTACAAGAGCCAAAAATGGACAGGAACCTTCTCTGTGATAAATGATCCAACATTTGATACTCAATTCATTTGACATTGAATACTTTGCATGGTTGTTTATTTAATGAGAGGCCTCTTGTTAGAATGCACATTCTTTGCATTATATGGTGGCTTTTGTTGCTTTTGTTAGTTTGAATGGGAGTGTTGTTCTTGCTAACAACCATTTTCACTTTTATTGTTTCATTTCATTTTTATTTCATAATTCTTTTTCTTTGTTTTTAATAAAAGTAAATTAGTAATGTGAGATTTATTTCTTGCCCTTCCTCCTGATACTAGAAGTGCAAAAGAAGCTTATGCAGTTTCTAGATTTTTTTTTTGATCGGCAAAAATAAAATATATTGATGTCGAAGAAAGGTACAAGGTGTACAAATGAATAGATCAGTGGAGACAAAAGGCCAAGGCTAAAGCAACAAAAAAGGGAACAAATTCCAATCAAAATTGGGAGTAGCACCAAACAAGAACCAAAACAAAGCCAAATAAAGCAAGTAGCAAATGCTGCAAACAAAACACTAGCAGCAATTGATGCCGAAAAAATTCCCATCTCCTTGCTGCACTTAGCCAAAAAAACTCCAATGTTTGAAAGATTCCTACAGTGCTGAGCACATCCATAATTTTGTTTCAAGACCAAACACCTATTACTTAGGTTGTGTTTGGATCATGAATTTAGATAGAGATTTGGAAAAGAAAAGCGAAAAATGTAGGTAAAATGTGAATGAAATATAATAACATTTCACACACCTTTTTCTTTTCCTTTCCCTTTCTCTTTCTTTTCCATTCTCTTTCCAAATCCTTACCCAAATCCATGCTCCAAACACAACCTTAAGGTAACAGGTTTGAAAAGTCGTCTTCTTCCTATACAAAAAAAGCTCTTCTACAATTAAGTTGCAAAGAACCATCATGATCACCTATGCGGAGAAGATTAGCCACATTTCCATCCTTAATATCTAAAAGTTGGAAAAATCTGCAACTAGACTCTCATCAAGCCATTTGTCCTGCCAGAAATTAATATTTTTGCCATCCCCCAACTTTGGACTAAAATTTTCCCTGAAGATTTGGAACTTGTCAAAAAATTTCCATTGGATAGAAAAAAACTCCATTCTCACGTTGTAAGATCTATTTTCAGACGAAGGTTCCAACTAATTAATTAGATCATTGGAATTATTGTACCAGTACTTTGTAGTCCAGTGTGGTCATTAAACCTAACCCAAAACATCACTTGCATTCATGCACTCAAAATCTATTTCAAATATTAAAGAAAACACTATTATGCTCTAATGATGATTTTTTTTTTTTTTTAAAGATAGAATCCAATTTTGTTTCCGCTTCTTGTTAATCTAGAATTGATGTTATGGAATGACCATCTGTGATCCAATTTAGTGAATGTAAGTTGCTAGAAACATCTAATAGCAAACTGGACCTTATTACCAAAAGCTAATTATCAAATATTTTAGGCTAAAAAAACTAAGCTTGTGGGTTTGGTTTAGCTTTTAGATGTGAAATTCCCTCGCTATTCAATTTGCACCATCTTGTTGATTAATTTTCTCTTTGAATTTTGAATGAGTTAATTTGCATGCATGCTCTATGTTTGAACTGCATAAAACACAATGATTTGAGTCTAACCCTTGTAAGAATTTGCTTGTAGGTATGTTCTCTGTTTCCTTCTTTTCAAGCAGATGATTAGCTACATATCTTATCTCCAATCCATGCAAATAAGGATGTCTAATAATATTTATTATGGTCTACCTTTGTATTGCTTTTTTTATTTTATTTTTTCCCCATTAAACTATTAAATAAGAAGGGTTGATAACCTTTCTTTTTATTATTTTTAAATTATTTTTTTCATGCTTTAAGCAAGTAGAATAAAAGTTTTGCAAACAAATCATGTTGGATTATTCACATGATCCTGATCTATTTGGTATACATTTAGAATGAAGGAGTTGATGGCATCTAAAAGGTTGTATTTGATTTGAAATGCTAAATAATGAAAACTTGATATTTCTTTCTAACAAATATAATGCAGAGCAACTCTGGCTAAGGATTTAATAGAAAATTCAGTTCATGGAGGAAATGGTGGTGGTAGGTCTCACAGCATTACATACAAGCATGGTTTGGCTCATCTTACTCATAATATACCAAGTAAAAGTGGGTTCACAATTGATGAGGGATTTCAAGTCCTGCCATTAAGGATGATTGAGTACTTGTTCATTTGTCAAATAGAGAAAACAATTGCTTTATTTTTATTACATCATATTTTTAGGAATGACAATTTTGTTGGGAAAATAGATCTTGTAATAGGTTTTATTTTTTATTTTTTTTGGTATAAGTAATAGTATTTATTAAAAACTTTGTATTGTTGAGTCGATCTTGTTGTATTCATGATCAAGTTGCTAATTTTGTGTGTTTTATGCAATAGCTCAAAACTCATTTAAATACACAAATGTAATGGGCACTATCTGGGCATTAGTTAGCGTGCCTTACACCCGGCCCTTTCACTAGTATTTACAAATTCAACAACCAACTCAAAGAAATTACACCTAACACAACCGAGCAATAATCACAAAGAAACCACTAAGTCTAACTCAACAATTACATAATACAATTCTTATAACAATAAAAAAAATAAATAAAGGATATCAAACTTATCTCCATATAATTTACACTCGTAATTTTACACTATAAAGTAGTACTGCACAACTACCAAGTCCAAGACTCGTATTCTTGTTAATCTTATGTTTAAAGCCTAGAAAATCAAAACATATGCGTCACTAGGCCATTACAAAAGCCTAGAATTCACGAATTAATCAAATTGAATAAGTCTATTAATACATAAATTAATGGAGAAATTATACTAAGAGACCCTATAGTTTGAAATTTGTATTACTTTAATTCTTAACTTTTCAATTGTGATGTATTTGACTATAAATTTTGAATCTCGTCTCAAATAAGAACAATTGAAGACATTGTTACTCCATTTCAAGGTCATAGTTGTCAATTTGACAAAATATAAACTAGTTTAACAAAAATAAATGCCAAAAGATTATTTTTAAATTTTAAAAAATTATTTCTTCTCACAAAAAATAAAGTTATATAAAATGATAAATTTTTTTATTTTTACCAAATTATTTTTTAGTGTGTATTTGGATGATGATCATATAATGAGTATTGTTTTTGTTGATATTTTTAGATGATTATCATGTACTAGATGGTTGTATTTGTTGTTAACAGATATTTTTTTGATGGTTATCGTGTAATGAATGAATATTAAGCATTTAATGTATAATCGATATGTTTAATATCTGAAATATTTTTAATTTTGAATTTTTTGATTTAACGAATTGGTTTAATAATGATATCAATGTTGTTGTCATGTTTGACATTTGAAAAAATAAAAGCTAATTTAACAATAATAAATATCAAAAAAATTATTTCCACTCTCCCAAAAGATAAAATTATATAAAATGATGTATTTTTAAATTTTTTTCACCAATTTAATTTTCAGTTTCTTAGACAAATTTTCTAAAAATAGATTATGAAAACCAAACTAGAACTTTGTAACCAAAAAAATTTCAACATTATTCATTAAAAAAAAATGTAATAGGTTTGGTTTCAGTTTTCTGAATTCAATTTTTTAGAAATTGAGTTTTATGTTTTTTTTTTGTTTTTTTTATTTTTAGTGAATATTTTTAAAATTTTAAGCAAATTTTTACTTTTTTAGATGCAGCTTACTTAGATGTATCTAAATAGTAAAATATTTGTAAAAAGATATTTTAAAAAATTAATAAATACAAAAAAATACAAAAGATGTATTGAATTTTCTTTTTTTAATTTTCTTTTTTTTTTTTGGCTTTGTATTTTTGATATTTTGTTTATTTTTATTTTTATTTTTTTTAATAAATATTATACTTTTTAAGTGTATTTATGTTAGATGTGTCTAAAAATTAAAAAAAAAATGCTTAAAATGTTAAAAAAAATCATTGAAAACAAAAAAAAAATATGAAAAATAAAGAAGTAGAATTTTCTGAAAAGTATTTTCTGGAAACCAAAACCAAACAAATTGGTTATATTTCAAACAACATATAAGTTAATCAATACAAAAATAAGTTGTATGACGACTTTGCCCTTCAAATGGAGCAACAATGTCTTCAATTGTCCAAATTTATAATAAGATTCAAAATTCAAGATCAAACGTATCACATTTGAAAAGTCCGGAATTAAAGTAATACAAATCTCAAATTATAGAAACTGTTAATATAATTTGCACTAAATTAATTACAAACTCATATACATAATATAGATAAGATTTTTAAAAATGAATTTCACTGACAAAGTATATTATTCATATAATTTTATGGGTTTGATTAACAAGTGACGTTTATTCTGAAAGAATTCAGCTGTAAGCTCTCGATCTCATTCTCGTTCTGTTTTTGGTCTTTCTCTTTCTCTCAATTTCTAAACCCTATTATTTTTATTTTTTTTAATTAGTTTAGGAGGTATCGTGAAGTACCTAAAAGCGAGGACCTTGTTCAGACGGTACCGACGTTGATCTAGGTCAAATAAGATGTATGAACTGTTCAGTGAACTTGGTATTCATCTCTGAGTCAACTTGATCGAGTGAGTGACTCACTGTAGAATACACAATCTCTATACCCTTTAAAGTTTTAGGTAAAAAGCTTGAGTCTTTGTACATTGGATCAGAATTGGGATTTATCTCAGATTTAATTTGATCAGTTCAGATTTCAGATTTATAATATTTTTAAAAATAATAAATTTAGTCAAAGTTAATTTAGAGCGTGATTTATGAAATTAAGTTCTAGACCCTATAAGCTCTTCGCTATTTTAATATGTTGGCTAGCGGTTACTAGAAATAAATTTTGAACTTGGTTTTTATTTTGAGAAGAAACACAATCTGATTTTTATTTTTTTTTAAATTAGGTTTCTTTTGGTTGTGTTTATATACATATGCATATATATATATATATATTAAAATCTATGATACACAACCCTAAAATCGGAAAAATCCTAAGAAATTGATAAATATTTGTGATGAAAGTTAAGAATAGTTGTGGTGTGTTATGTCAATTTGTAATAGAAGTTACAAATGATGAATTTATGGTGCGTAGTAAAGTTAAAGTTACACTTTTTATGGTGCTAAAAATAATGATTTTTATGATTTATTTTACAAAAGGTTATGGTGGTGTTATGGAGGGCACACACCGTTTTAGGAATGCAAATAGTAGCTTCTCTGAATGTGTTTCTATATGTATATCCAAGAATTGATTCTTTCTTCTTCTTCTTCTTTTTGTTAATTTTTTTTGGTGGCATTTTCCAGTCTACGTAATTGGTTACTAGTTTTGACATATCAATTGTCATATGGAAAACCACTTTGTCTATCATCTTAAGGAGATTGTTAACCTATCTATGTTGCTGTAGAATTCTTGGATATCATCTGTTTTTAGGAGCCTTATTTACTGGGATTTGCTTTTCTTTCTTTTTAACTCTGTGTTGATGGAACATTCACAATTTGTTTGTGCATGTTTTCTACACTTTTTCATCCCATCCTTCCCATTGATGGACAGGGTGGTGTTATCTACATTAATAAATATTTCTTTGATGATAAATTTTTAAAAAAAAAAAAAATCGCTTTGACATTGTTACTTCACTAGTTTTCATTTGTGGCCTTGCTATGAGCCTATAAGACTATACACGAGTGACGTAAAGATTTTTTTGTAGGAGCTATTTCATTTAATTTATGTTCTTGAATGGTAATCCTTAATTATCATAACTTAGTTTTTTGGTTGCATTAACATTGCATCTTGTCCTGTTGGGTTTTCATTTGTACCTAGTTATTTTGGACATATTGGTTTTATGAATGATTTGATTCATGAAGATTGGGAATGGTAACACTACCTACCTTTGGCATGATAACTGGCATCCTTTAGGTCCCCTCATTCTCAAATATGGGGACAGGATTGTGTTTGACTCTGGTTTAGAATCACAGGCTACTATTTCTAGTATCATTAGGGATCAGAATTGGTAGTGGCCCAGTGCTCAAAATTGTGAGCTTATTGAGATTAGGAATTCTATTATTGGTGACATGGTTCCCTCTAACTGTAAGGATCAATTTGTTTGGACCTCTTGACCTAATGGTATTTTCTTTGTTTAGTCTGCTTAGGATTTGTTTAGAGTTCATAGACCTAGAATGACCTGGCATAAGCTCATTTAGTTTAAGTTTCATATTCTTAGAGTGTGTACTATGGTTTGGTTGGCTATTCTGGGTAGGTTGAATATCCTTGATAGGTTGGTTGTTTATGGGATTAGAAGTTCTACTAAATGTGTTTTGTGTAATCATCAGCATAAGGATCATGATCACCTCTTTTTCAGTTGCAACTATTCATTGAATGTGTTGGGCCCTCTGTTAGCTAAGTGTAACATGTCTTGGCCTATCTTGAACTTGAGTAATCTCGTGGACTAGTTGTCTAAACAGTTTTTTGGTCATTCTTTGGCTACCATTGTTAAGAGATTGGTGTTTACCTGAACTGTTTACTGTATTTGGCAAGAGAGAAATGCTAAGATTTTCTCATCTGGCTGTTCTCCTACTACTGTTATTGTGAAAAAAGTTGAATCTCTTGTGAGATTTAGGTTGTTATCTGTGAACAAGTTTAAGGAGCGTGATGCCAATGATTGGTTTTTGGATTCATGGCAACTCCCTCATTCTCTGTTAAGGAATTCATGCTCCCTGATTTGTTTGTCATTCCTCTCAGATTTCTAATGCTTCATACTATTTTTTGCTTCCCTCTTGTAGGTCTCCTCAATTATCTTTGGAGTAGCACCATATTTCCTCTCTATTTTACTTTGCAGGTTAAGTTGGTACTAACTTAAGGGTGTTATAGGTTGAGTGTTGTAAGCTAAAACAGTTAGGGTAGCGTGAGAGTGTCTTTGAGAGTGGAGTGTGGTGAGCGTTGAGGGTTGAGTGCATGTGAGCTTATATATGAGGGTTAAGTGATATAAGCTTATAAATCTTTTAAATATCTATGTGCTAATTTTTGTGCAGGTTGTCGAGCTGGTTTAATAATAGGGAGGAGGGTTGAGCGTGGTTGTCACGACCCGCTCCCCGTACCCAACGGTTAAGCATCATGATGGCCAGTAACTGAAATTATCTCCGGCCAATTCTTAAACAAATTACTAAACGTGAGCGAAAAAATATTGAAGGGATGATATCAAAATAATCATTGGAACTTATATTTTTATAACAAAATTTATTGATCAAAAAGTCCGATATTTACATATGAAGAATAGAATTATAAATACTATAAAAATGTTGTGTGTGTCTATTCCGCAACCTCACGTCTAAGACTCTCCAAAACCTATTTTTGAACTGTATTGTTTCCTGAAAATTGGTAAACAGTTATAAGCACATGGCAAAGTAAGAAATATTATACTAAGACTATAAGGGTATAAAATTACCATGTATAATCATTGACTAAACAAAACTTGATATTAAAATACAGAGAATATAATACGGAGATCATTTGACATATAATACAAAAATCATATAAACAAAATAATCATAGTCACGGTACAAAATGGAACATAACAGATGTATGGACTCAAGAGGTGATTCGTACGAACTCTAGAGGTGGCTCTCACAATAGTGTAGTACTTAGCTCTGTACAATACTTTGCCCCACACCAGAAATCACAACCACGATACAGAACAGAACAGATGTATGGACTCAAGAGGTGGCTCGTACGAACTCTAGAGGTGGCTCCCACAATAGTGTAACATTTAGCTCCGTATAGCACTTTACTCCATACTAGAAATCAAAGTGTTCAATCTCCCAAGACATGGGACCTCTGTGGTGAAACTTATAAAATAATTACTCAAAACACATTTTAATAAACAGTTATATTCATGGGTTTTCTTTATTATATAAAATAAGGTTCACATATTAAAAATGCTAATATAATTTATAAAACAGAAATTGCGTAAAATAAATTATGGTAACTCAAAATATACGTAAAATATATTATGGTGACTCAATGTATAATATAACTCACCTTAATAGTGATTCCTCACTCTTGCTTTCCACTATGAAAGACCTTCTTGATTTCTAGTATTTTTTCCCCTTTCTTAGTTTGTTTTCCTTTTCTATTCAGAGCACCCCTCTTCCTTTTATACTAGGGAGTACTACTTGCTCAGCAAGTTTTGGGACACGTAGACACACCACGTGGCCTTGCCATCATTGTGCTCTAAATTGAAGTTTATCCCTCAAATGGATAAGTTTAAGTAATTGCATTATTAGTTTTTTTTCTTTTTTCTTTTCTATACAATGACCTTGATGTAAATAAATTACACTTTATTTTGTTTTACTCTTACAAAATATTTAATTAAAAATTTAAGGTTTTTCTCATTTATAATTAAATAATACGAATATAAAATTTAAGGGATAGCTTAAATTTTCGGGTTGTTACATTGGTGAGGATCTATACGTAGGTTCTCTTCTTCTGAGGAATGAGTGCTGTAAGCCAAATTTTTCTAACTTTTTTTATGCAGATTGTCAAGCTGGCACTTATGTGAGGGAAATCGTTGTTGAGTGTTGAGTGAATCTAGTCCATATACTGCTTGTAGTGTTGAGAGTTGTTTGAAAGTTGAGATTTTTTGAATTGTTTGTCTGTTGTTCTCTGTCTGTCTATCTCATATTTGCTGTTGCTTTGTTCCTGTTGCGGTCTCTGTTTGACTGAGAAGTTTGTTCATGCTGCACCTGTTTTGTTCAATCCCTCTATAGTCTTGGTATATGGTGTTTGAACAAATCTTTCCTGTGCAATGTGTTCATATTTCTGGGTGAGCAGTGGCTGGTTTATTTAGCCTATTTGCTGTGTTGTTTGTTGTCCCCTCCCCTATATTTTTGTCCTGTTTGCTGTGCTGCATTTGTTCTAGTGTGCTGGTTTTGCCTACTGCTATATTAGTACTGCTATGCTAGCCTACTGTAGAGCTGCTGGGTGCTAAGTGTCACTGCGTTTGGCATGATGTGCTGTTGAAATCTTTTTTGTCATATTGATAGCTCAGGATGTTGTTGGTTCATGGTTTTGGTTTTTTTGATGTTTTCCTGTTTTTGTAGTTCTGTAGTTTAGTGTGTTGGTCGAGCTGTTCATTTTTGTTCTAGTTTTGTTGAGGTGTGGCTGTTTTTGTTGTTTTTAGTTTGTTGGGTTTTCCTGATGAATGCCTCTTGTATATCTGTACATTCTTTTGTCTTAATTTATAACTTACTTACCCAAAAAAAAAAAAAAAAAATGTTTTCTGTAATATCAATTTTAGTAGTTTGATGGAACATTAAACTTTTTACTAGAGTTTATCTTTTGTGAACTAATCATTTCTTTTTTTTGGTAATGAGGTTATCCAAGGTATCTTCTTGTCCTAACACTCTTAACACACTACATTAGATCTTAGCAACACATAATCTATGGACTGACTAGAGCAGTTTATAGAAGCAACAATTATCATCAATTCCAGGTGACACTATCTTCCTCCTTACTAATAGATCGCAAGTGGTGATTATATATATTTTTTGCATTGTGAACCAACAGAAAACTTGGAACTCATAACCAAATAATATAATCTACTCATGGAGGCTACAGAAAATAAATCATCATTTGCATAACTCCATGACATTATTCTATCATGAGTTTGATTGTTGCCCTTAAAGGTATCCAATGATCTTATAATTTCTCCTCTTCTTTTTCCCAGGGATAAAGTTCTCTATTATTACTTGACTTCTATCCAATGCTCTCTCTCCTTTAATGGCCACAATATTAGATACAACCACCTTTTGTTTTTCTTTTCTTTTCTTTTTTTGTAATGACTAGGCTAAGCTGCTTTTAATGACAAATTGCTTACCCATTTCAGAATTTGTCCCAGCACCAACTATTAATTTAAATCTCTATTTTATCATATTACTAAATATTGTCTCACCCCCTACCAATGATATAATATCATACCAATCCTTGATACCTTCTTTGAATTAAATGTCTTAGGCAGCCATGAATTTTGCTCCACATTGTATCTTTCACACACAACTTTTCTTTATATTGCAGGAGTAATTTATAATTTTTAAGTGATCCAATACCCATCTCACCAAAATCTCTTGATCTAGTCCCATTGTCCCATTTAATCACCCTAAGCTTTCTTTAATCCTCCTTGTCTACATTGAAATTTCTCCAATTCATTAGCCACACATAGGAATCTTAAATACATTCATAAAGTAAACTGGTAAATTACCAAGTGTGGACATGATTAATATCATCCTAATCAAACTCATAATGTAAGTTTAAATTTTCATTACTGATAATATTTATAATAAGAACTTGCTTTTCTTTTGCCTTCTTAAATGTAGGTTGCTAAAGATGGATACTATGATCTTGCTCGAGTGTTGAGTGGATATGAGTGGAAGGCTTATTCACTTGCATATTCAATTGCATCAATTTTAGAATTGCAGATTGTCGTTGGTTATGCAACAATCGCAGCAGCATCTCTAGGATATTGTTCAAATTGGGATTGACTTAATTTTGTTTTTTTTTTAAAAAAAAACCTTAGTTTCACTTTTAAGTATTGGTTTTGATCAACTTACATTTTGAATTGTAAGAACATGTGTAGGTATAAATAAAAATATATATATTTGGATGTTAAAGAATTGATGTGTGTGAACTGTCAAATTGATGTATGTGAATATTATTTATTGCTTAAGCAATAAATAATTTATTATTGAAAAGTAATTTGTTATTTGCGATGGTAGTTTTTGCCATCCCAAATACCAAATTATTATTATTTTTTAAACAATTAGATGTTTTACCAACACAACTATTTATCACTGAAAGTCTACTTTCGGCGACGGATATTGCATCGTCAAAGGTCTCATTTTTTGCCGATGCAATTTGGGTTGGCAAAAGTTTCACATAATCATCTTATTTGAGCCATTTTTGCCAACGCAAGTTAAAATGGCAACGATTGATGAAGGCTTTTGCCGACTAAGATATTTGTCGCTAAAGATATCACTAAGGCCAAAGTGCCACAAAAATTTTTCTCGACACACCTTTGCCGACACATTGTCGACGCAGCTTTATGGGTCGACACTAGGGGTGCGCGGTGCGGGTCGGTGCGGTTTGAGAGAAAAATAGAAACCGTATGGCGGGTGGCAGATTAATAAAAGTGTCACTAGAATTTACCATTTTCCTTATCAAAAATCGGCGGTTCGGTTGGCAAATAATGGCGGATTTGTCTTGGCGGTTCGAGTGGATTGGTGGTTTATAAAAAATATAATTCAAATTACAAAACTTAAATCAAAGAGTAAAAAAAAAGATGAGAGATACCGTGATGTTAAGTATCTTGCGAAGCTTTTTTCTGATGCAGCAAGTGTAGCAACAACATGATAATATCAACGGCTATGCCATCAGTTCTTTACAAGCATCTATAGAAGCTACAATGATCAAATACAATACATAAAATTAATATCATTCAGGGTTTCCAATATATTGAAAATGTTTACTGTTGAAAAGTATTTAGATTGAAAAGTGAGCTAATGCAAGTTTGCAACATGGCCAAAAAAAAAAAAAAAATCGAAAAGTGAATCGGAATCTAACTTTATTTTAGACTACTGACATCTTGAATTCTCCTCGAACAGTAATGTAATACTATATTCTAAGGTATAGAACAACAAACAAACTTAAATAAAAAAGAATTTTTAGAATCTTATAAAACATGATTTAATAGCAGTGCGGGTCGGTGCGGTTTGGAAGAAAAATAGAAACCGACGGATTGATAAAAATGTCACTAGAATTTGTCACTTTTCTAACTAAAAACCGACAGTTCGATTGACAAATAATAATGAATTTGTCTTAACAATACGGTTCGATGCGATTTTAACGATTTCGACGGTATTATACACACCTTTAGTCGGCACAATTCTTTGCTGACGATATTTGCCTTTTGCCAACACATTTTGTTGTGCGGACAAAACTGCTTTTTGTCGTAGCGAGCCTCTCAATTATATCAGGATTTCGGTGTCTATGCATCTCTCACACTAAACATCTTGGGAACAAAGCGGCTCACCAGTTAGCTAGGATGCCTACTTCCTTTCCTGGTCTGTCTGTTTGGATGGAGTGTTCCTCCTACTTTGAATGTTGTTGTACTTTTAGACTCCATGCCTTGATGGCTTATAATATATCCCTTTTAAAAAAAAAATTTTAAAAAAAGTGACTTGCATTAGCTAATAATATTTAAATTGATTACATGATATTATACGATGTATGTATTTTTATACATGATATATAAATATTTTAAATTTTTTATAAAATTTTTTAAAAACACTCATTAACAAAATTTATATTTTATATCAAATTTTAGAATCTGTTTCCATATTCATAACACAAATACGTCAAAACTTCTATGATAGAGTGCAAATGGTAATTGGGCATTTTGATCATAAACTAAGCTAGCCAATCTTGTTCCAAAGCGAGGGTGTTTTTCTAAAAATTAATGTCCTAAGTCCTCGAATTCTATGGCCACTTGTGTGACGCCGTACAACAATTTAATAGTAGATTAGGTGAGAGAGTGGGAATAAGTACTTATTGGGCGCACAACGGACCCACTAAACTCTATGCTTTAAGCATCTAATTCCCAATTTTCCAAATTTCTAAATCCAATGGCTCTATGCAAAAGTTAATCCAAGCCCTAGCCTCTAATAGGAGGACCAAAGCTCCACTAATGTCTTAGATCCTATTCCCTGCCTCCCGTGATACTATTTTACTATATCTTCTGAGCCAAAAGCAAAATTCGAAATGGAAAGCATAATTTTTACATTTAAAAATTCAAAACTTTTTTGAAACTTTGGAAAAAATTAAGAATAAAAAGTTTAGACAATAATATTAAAGATTAAAAATTCAGATGCAAAAAACTATCAAATAAAGCTTTGCGTGGTCCAAATTCAGGGTTGGTTTGGCAAAAGTTTTTTTAACAACTTTTTGTTGTTGTCGGCCTCGTTTGTTTTCAGTGACAGAATTAAAAAGATTTATAGTGAGGAAATTAATAGTGAAGAATTGTTAAATTATTTTTATATAAAATAATAAAAAATATATAAAAAATATAAAAAATTAAACATTATATTTAAAAAAAAATTCCAATATATAAAAAAATTATAATCCCCTCACTATTTTTCTAATACCATCTCTACCTCCTCCTTACCAATTCCCCTTCCAAAGGGACTACTAATACCAAAGGACTAATAGTCCCCTCCCCATCTCTCAAAACAAATACCCCATTAATAATACCAAGGGATTAGTAATTCCAATCCCCTTCCTATAACCCCAAACAAATGGGGCCTTCTTGTTGTGTTTTTATAATTTTCAAACAAATTTTTCACTTTTATTTTACTATTAGATTAGAAGACCTTAATTTTTTTTAAATTTAGTTTCTTTTATTTATTTATTTATTTTTTTGAATCTTGCAAAAATGAATCCAAACAAAATTTTGGCCAAAAAAATTTATTTTTTTAAACCTTTTGTTGTCTTTAATCAGATAAAAGTGTTTAAAAAAAATGTGAATTTTTTATTCTTTGTCAAATAGAGATTGAGAATGAATCTAGAGTAAATACTATTTTTTTTTAAATAAATCTAAATGTACAAAAACAATTGACAAATTAAGGGGTTGTTTGAGATGTTCTAAATAAGTGTACTTTTTGACTTTTTATGAAATATGGGTTGGATATGGGTTGGGTTGGAAGTGATTTAATAGAGAAGTGATGTGACTTAAACAAGATGATGTGACTTATATTATGATGATAGTTGTTAGTGTGGGGATTATTAAATTATTTTTATATAAAATAAATATAAAATAACAAAACAAATAAAAAAATACAAAACATTCAACATTAATGTTAAAAAAAAATGCCCAACATGCAAAAAATTTAAAAAAAATAAAAATTTTCAGAAAAAAATAAAATAAATAAAACAATGATTTTTACTTAACAAAAAATACAAAAATTAAACATTAATGTTAAAAAAAATGCCCAACATGTAAAAAATAAAAAAATATAAAATTTGTAGTCCTTGGGACTATTTTTCTAATACCATCTCCACTTTCTCCATCACAATCTCCCTTCCAAGGCCTATTATAATACCAAGAGATTAGGAGTACCCCCTCCCCATCTTTCAAAATAAACACCCCATGTAGTGGGTCTCACTTTACTATTAATTACAATCCCCTCCCTATAACCCCAAACAAAAGGGGCTTGTTGTTGTGTTTTTATAATTTTCAAACAAATTTTTCACTTTTATGTTACTATTAGATTAGAAGACCTTAATTTTTTTTAAAATTTAGTTTCTTTTATTTATTTATTTATTTTGAATCTTGCAAAAATGAATCTAAACAAAATTTTGACCAAAAAAATTTATTTTTTTAAACCCTTTGTTGTCTTTAATCAGATAAAAGTGTTTAAAAAAAATGTGAATTTTTTATTCTTTGTCAAATAGAGATTGAGAATGAATCTAGAGTAAATACTATTTTTTTTTAAATAAATCTAAATGTACAAAAACAATTGACAAATTAAGGGGTTGTTTGAGATGTTCTAAATAAGTGTACTTTTTGACTTTTTATGAAATATGGGTTGGATATGGGTTGGGTTGGAAGTGATTTAATAGAGAAGTGATGTGACTTAAACAAGATGATGTGACTTAAATAAGATAGTGACTTTTTGACTTTTTAACTTTTTTGGAGGATGTCAAACTTAGCCTAAGACAAATATTAGTGGGTTTACAAACTAAAAAAAAGGGTAAATTACACTTTGTCCTCCTAAAGTTTCACAAATTTTTCACTTTGGCCCTTTATGTTTGTAATCCTTCACATTTTAACCTTTCATGTTTGCAATTCTTCCCACTTTGGCCCTTTAAATTTGATTTTTTTCACTTTGACCCTTCATATTTACAATCTTTCCCACTTTGACCCTTTATCGTTGCAATTATTCACACTTTACTCCTAGACTAATTTCTATCTAAAAAATTAACAGAATCTACCATATCACCAACACGTCAGCTCCACTTGTGATGTAAAAAATTCACTAAAAATGCAAAAAATGAAAAATAGAAACGAAAAAATTGATTTTTTTTTTAGTCTTTAGTCAATTTTTTTTTCGAATTTCATAAATATTATTACATTAGAGATGCATCTAGCTTAGATGCACCTAAAAAAAATAACAAATATAACTAAAAAAAATAAAAAAAAAGTTCACTAAAAATGACAAAAAATAATAATAACAAACTTTTCATTTCAGAATTGACAATACTGATGTTTGAGTCAGTATTTTTTTATTTTTTTCATCTTTAATAAACTCTATTTTTTTTAGTTAAATTTATTTTTATTTTTTTAGGTGCATCTAATCTAGATGCATCTATAATGTAATAATGTTTATGAATAAAATTGAAAAAAAAAAAGTTCACTAAAGACTAAACAATTCCAATTTTTTGCTTTCTATTTTTTATTTTTTGCATCTTTAGTGAATTTATATTACACATGGAGCTAATGTGTTGGTGATGTGAAAGATTCTGTTAATTTTTTAGATGAAAGTTAGTCTAGGAGTAAAGTGGGAAGGATTACAAATATGAAGGGTTAAAGTGGAAAGAATTGTAAACATGAAAGGCTGAAGTGGGAAAAATCTAACTTAAAAGGTCAAAGTAGAAAGAATTACAAATATGAAAGGTTAAAGTGAAAAAATTAAACTTGAAGAGCGTAGAAAATGGATGAAACTTTAGGGAGGCAAAGTATAATTTATCTTTAAAAAAAAAATCAAAAATTTATCTAAATATAAAATTTAAGTTTAAGATTTATGTCCACTTAGTCAATACTCCGGCACTCTTATATATTAACACTTGTCTCATAAAATTTTAATACAAAAATGGTAGATCCTATAGTTTAGATCAAAATAACTGAGCATTTGAAACGTCAGTTAAACATATTTGAGGAGCATTGAATTATTTTACAAGATGTATTCACGAGTCCTTAAAAGAAAATTAAATTTACACCATTAATCTAAAATTTTTCTTTACTCTGTTTTTTTGTTTTGTTTTGTTTTGTTTTTTTAGAAATACATAGATTTTTAAAAAAAATTAGGGATTATGAAAATTTTTTCATAAAAATGATCATAAAAAATTTATAATCCTTAAATTATTTTAATTAGTGTGTAGTATTTTATTTTAAGTATAATTAATTTAGATCAAAATAACTGAGCATTTGAAACGTCAGTTAAACATATTTGAGGAGCATTGAATTATTTTACAAGATGTATTCACGAGTCCTTAAAAAGAAAATTAAATTTACACCATTAATCTAAAATTTTTCTTTACTCTGTTTTTTTGTTTTGTTTTGTTTTTTAGGAATACATAGATTTTTGAAAAAAATTAAGGATCATGAAAAAATTTTCATGAAAATGATCATGAAAAATTTATGATTCTTAAATTATCTTGATTAATGTGTAATACTTTATTCTAAGTATAATTAAAAAATTATAAAATTTTTATAATTATTTTTATGAAATATTTTTTACAATACCTACTATTGCTGTTGATTTTTCCACACCTCACATACCTAGCGCAAGAATTCTTGGAGGAAAAAAACAAAGAAAGAAGAAAAGCAGGAAGCACCATGGTGAGGTTTGAGCCGTGCTTGATGCGATGGAGTCTTTGTGGGACATTAGGAGACAAATGGGTAGGCCTAGGGATAGTGTGATGAAGGGGGGTCCTATACCTACACATGGTAGGCACCATAGAGGCCTATAAACCCTATGCTATAATCATCTCGTATATGGAGCTGGTGCCTATAAAGCAAGGCATGCCTGCACCGAGCTTCCCACACACAGACAGACAAAACACACACACAGATGTCTAACTCTAATGGGAAGAAGACAATGGCAGTGGGTGAATCATATTCATATCCCATGAATGGCGGTGACGGCCCCTATAGCTACTCTCGAAACTCCATCTATCAGGTCTCCCTCTTTTCACTCTCTCTCTCTCTCTGTCTCTCTCAAACACACATACACATAACATCTATGTCAGTTTGGAGATGTTTGTTGTTTGGCTAGGAAGAAATTTTATTCTCTCACTCTCTTTCTCTACTAAGCTTTCTGAAGTTAAACATGCACACATCCAAGATCTAATAGTAAGTCAGTTTGAAGATGTTACCTGTTTGACTAGCAAGAAAAATTGTTCCCTTTCTTTCTCAAGTTGAACATACAAGCACGTTATCTATGTCAGTTTGGAGATTTTAATTGTTCACTTGTTTGGCTGGGAAGAAAAGTTGTTACTCTCCCTGTCTCTTTCTCTAATAAGCTTTCTGAAACACACACACACACACACACACATGACATCTATGCCAGTTTGAACATCTCTCTCTCTCTCTCTCTCTCTCTCTCTACCTTCTGAGCTTTCTGAAGTTCAACATACACGCACATAACATCTATGTCAGTTTGGAGGTGTTACATGTTTTTCTAGCAAGAAAAAAAAAGCTTTATGAAGTCAAACACACATAAATCTGTCTTCTTGGAGATCTTAGTGTTTGGCGAGCAAGAAAAATTACTCACTACTGAGTGCGATGCAACACAAATAGATGGTGTTAGATCCATTTGCAGTGATACACGATGGTGAATAACTGCACTGAGTATTTCTTACTAGATTCGAATATATGCAAAAAAACACACACAAATGCTTTTACAAATTATTTATTTATTTATTTTTTATAATGGGATGACGATGATATTGATGATGAACTTTACACTCTTGCAGAGAGAAGTAGTGGATGCTTCAAAAAGTATGATAACTGAAGCCATTTTTGACAACTTTGACTTCGAAAACTCGCCTTCTAATCGACTCAACACTATCAGGATCGCCGATTTGGGCTGTTCTGTTGGACCAAACACTTTCATGTCCGTTCAAAACATCCTCCAAGCCATAGAACTCAAACACAAAACAATTCAACAAAACCCTACAAGCCCTGAATCCCAAATCCACCACCCTCAAGCCCAAACCCTAGAATTCCAAGTCTTTTTCAACGACCTCACCGCCAACGATTTCAACACACTCTTCATAACCCTTCCACCCTCTTCTCCACCGTACTTCGTTGCCGGCGTCCCTGGCTCGTTCCACCATCGGGTGTTCCCGGAGGCCTCACTCCACGTTGCATACTCCTCCTATGCACTCAACTGGATGTCTAGGGTTCCTGAGGAAGTGGTGGAAAGAGACTCCCCCACGTGGAACAAAGGGAGAGTTCACTACACCCACAATGCGAAGATTTTCGAAGCCTACTCGGCTCAGTTCAAGAGGGACATGGAGGATTTTTTTAGGGCTAGGGCACAGGAGGTTGTGGAGGGAGGGCTCTTGCTGCTTCTTTTGCCTGGTTGTCAAGATGGAGTCCTTCCTTGTGAGACATCTGCTAGTTTGCAGCATGAACTTTTTGGATCATGCCTCATGGACATGGCCAAGATGGTAAGGTCTAAGGGTTGAAACCATGGTTTTAAATTACAATATCTTAATACAAACCATGATTTTAAATTATAATATCTTATTAGTTATCAACAATGCTAGGTATCATGAAAGTCTTTCATGAAAATGATCATGAAATATTTTTGACCTTTGAATTACGTTTAGAATAAAGCACCACACATTAATTAAGGTAATTTAAGAATTACAAATTTTTCATGATTATTTTCATGAAAAAAATTTCATGATCCTTAATATTTGTTGTTAGTTATTGATATGAGTGATATAGTCATATACAAGTCTTCAACATTGAAAACCATTGATCAATGTATCAGTTTTAAAAAGTTTAAAATCCCGATACGGTGACAAAACAGTAATGTTAACTACATTCATACTAAGTGTGTGACAAAACAGTAAGATCACACATTATTTTTCGAATCTTAGAGCCTAGCTATTTGCAGCTTCATATGGAACCTGTTACAAGTATTTTAAAGAAATGGAGTAGCTACACTTTCATTTACATCATTTGCTCATGCATCAAGATGCATTCAAAATGCTCCAGAAGACATAATTTGTTATGAACTTTAGATTCCTATTTAGATTCATATCATGACAATAGCTCAACGGTGATAAACGAGCTGAACGAGTCAAATAATTAACCTTTCAAATTTAGTTTAATAATTTTAACGAGTTTCAAGATTTATTCAAGTTTGGTCCTTAAACTTTCAAACCAATTTTAAATAATCTTTTATCGAGTGAAGCTCAAGCAGTTTAGTGTTTTTTTTTATAGTTTTAAACTTATCAAGCTAAGCATAACGAATAATTAACTGTTCAAACTTAGGGGTTGTTTGGGATAATCTAAATAAATATATTTTTTGACTTTTTATGAAATATGAGTTAGGTTTGAAGTGATGTAGTAAAGAGGTGATATAATTTAAATAGGATAGAAATTTTTTAACTTTTTTAAGTTATGACAAATAAAATCTTAATTTAAAAACTTTAACAAACTCTAAAATATGTTCAAATTTGATTTGTTTACCTAAGGATTCAGCTCGTATATTATCTCTAAACCTATGCATGACAGTTCAATGGACAGTACCTCAAGTTTGACCATTGACTTTAGTTGACTGATAGTTAACTTCAAATTTCCCTACCACAACATTGAGAATTTGAGATGCAATACAAAACATACTTGATTTTTTTTTTTTTTTTCTCTTCCTAAATTAGAGTGTATGTAGATATTTGATTTCCCACGGAATTAGGCCTGCACAGTTTACTTCGAAAATTAGAGGGTTTGAGATTGGTTTTTTTAATCTAAAAAAGCTAATAATATGTTTGGCAAATACTAAAAAGTGTCTTTTTTTTTCTTTTTTTTTTTCTGTTTGTGAGAAAGTCAACTTCTTTTCTTAATTTTTTTTTTAGCTCTTTTCAAATAAGCTTCTTTTTTTTTTTTTCCTTTGTTTTTGTTCAAGTCTTAGTCATATATCTAATTTGGCAACTATGGACTAGCTAATTTGTGTTATGCAAGTTTGGCACTAGTGTTATGATCATTCTTCAAACAATTCCATTACGAAATTTATATCATTAATACCATATTCCTTTAGGACGGATATTTTACTCAATGTCATACCCCTTTTGTTATGGCAAATATGCACACAAAATAGATGATCATTGACACTTTTACAACTCGGATTTATTAATCTCAAATGATCACTTTTATTTCAGGGAATGATTAGTGAAGAAAAAGTGGATTCCTTCAACTTGCATCTCTACCATACATCGCCCATGGAGTTTAGGGAATTAATAGAGGCGAATGGGTACTTTCACATAGAGAAAATGGAAAGTTTTAATCCCTTTCCTATTCTCAAAGAGTTGCCTAATTTTCACGAGTTGGCAACACATTTTAGAGCTGCCATAGAAGGACTCATTACTGAACACTTTGGAAGTGAGATCGTTGAGGAGTTATTTGAACGCTACGCTGAGAAAATTGCTCAAAACACCTATGTGTTTGATGCTCAAAACACCAAAGAGTTCATGATTTTCGCTTGTCTCAAGCGCAAAGTGGGTGATGAAGGGAACGGAGATCTCCATTTTAATTCCAAAGAAAATCAAAATTGTTGAAAATCATTTGAGTGCTTTCCCTTTCTGTTTGCTTCATTAATGCTGGTTTTTGAGTCCATCCCTTACTGGATTTTTGTTTGAAGAGTTTTTAATAACTTAATTGCCCATGATTTGTTAGCATGGAGTTTTTTTTTTTGTGCGCTTGCTTGCTCGCTTGTGTGTGTTCTGTTTTGTTTTTGCTTTGTTGTTGTAGTTATAACAAATGTAAGTCGGGTATTGTATTATTTGTGTAATTTGAATAAATGCATTTTATGATTTTCCATTGCGTGATAAAATAAATGGTTGATTTCATTTTTTTATTTTTTCTGTTTTATATTTATTTATTTAACACATATAACCTGCAAGTTTGAAATGCAACATAACCATATAAATTTACAACTATTAATAAAAATTTTTGCTTTGTTGTTGTAGTTATAACTAATGTAAGTCGTGTATTGTATTATTTGTGTAATCTGAATAAATGCATTTTATGATTTTCCATTGCGTGATAAAATAAATGGTTGATTTCATTTTTTTATTTTTTCTGTTTTATATTTATTTATTTAACACATATAACCTGCAAGTTTGAAATGCAACATAACCATATAAATTTACAACTATTAATAAAAAAAATAAATAATAGTAAAATGTTGCATTATAAATATAACACAAAATTATTAACTTTTGAAAGAAAATATGTGCATTAACTCTTTTTATAGTAATATAAAATTAACTGCATTATTGGATCTTGTTTTAAAAAATATACATAACCCACCAAGATAACCATTTTATTAAAGTTGTGAAAATATTTTTTAATAAAAAAGAAAAATTACAACTCAGATTGTGCATTAACTCTTTCTATTTATTATGTAAATATAATTTAAAAATCTTATCCAAACATAATATTAAAATGTATAAAGAGAATTATAATTTGAAAACCTTTCTAAACACAACCCATATTTTTTCTCAATATTATCTCTGTCATTTGATCTAATAACGTTCCGTCAGATAGGAAGCGATGCAATTTACCCCAAAAATAATGATCGGCTGTTCGAGACTCGAGAGGGTAGTTAAGAGCAACTTTGTTTGTTCCTCCAATTCCAAAGGTAGGTAAGAGTATTTTCTGGACCAGTCCATCCTCGGCGGCTCGAACCGCACTCACGTCTCTCCCAAAACAACGCGGCCTCGTTGGGAAGTGATTATTTTAAAAACTTTTTAATTTTTTGATTATTTTAATAAATTATTTTAATTTTTATGTTTAAAAAGATGTGATAAATTTTTATTTAAATTGTTGTATTATAAAATGTGTTAAAATGATATTTAAAATTAAAATAATAAATTTATTTTTAAAATTATAATTTTTTAAATTGATATAAAAGAACAAAATCATAATTTACTTAGTGAATGTAGCAATTTGTTAATTCACAGTGTAAGCTGTGCCTGCCGGCAGCTGCAATCAAAATTTGGACTGTTCCTGTTTCTTTTTTTTTTAAAAAAAAAAACTTTGGACAGCGAAATTTTTTTGACTTATTTGTAATGTGAGGCTATAATAGCCTCGACCTGTCTTCCCAAACAGCGCTTATAAATCGACTCCACATCTACGAGTCTATCCACTTCACTTTCTCTTCTTCGATCACACTGTTTCAAAACCTTCACAACAACAATGGCGGATACCAATACCGAAGCTCCATATTCCCACAATTCACACCCTCCAACAATCGACGGCAACGTCCTGGTGGCCAAGGCCCTCTCACGTGCCGGCGTGGACCGCATGTTCGGCGTTGTCGGCATCCCCGTCACCTCCCTCGCCAACCGCGCCGTCGCTCTCGGCGTCCGATTCATCGCCTTCCACAACGAGCAGTCAGCCGGCTACGCCGCCTCCGCCTACGGCTTCCTCACCGGCCGCCCCGGCATCCTCCTCACCGTCTCCGGCCCCGGCTGCGTCCACGGCCTAGCCGGCCTCTCCAACGCCGCCGTCAACGGCTGGCCTATGGTCATGATCTCCGGCTCCTGCGATCAGAGCGATTTTGGCCGCGGCGATTTCCAGGAGCTCGATCAGATCGCCGCCGTGAAACCCTTCTCGAAGTTTTCTGCCAAAGCCACCGATATTAAGGAAATCCCTAATTGTGTTTTCCAGGTTCTCGATCACGCTTCTTCGGGTCGGCCTGGCGGGTGTTATTTGGATTTTCCGACTGATGTTCTGCACCAAACTGTTACTGAATCTGAGGCTGAGAAGTTGATTCTTGATGCTGAGAATCAGAGACAACAAGAGGTGATTGAGAAATTTGATAATTCTGAAATTGAGAAAGCGGTTTCGTTGCTGCGACACGCGGAGAGGCCATTGATTGTGTTTGGTAAAGGTGCTGCTATTGCTAGAGCTGAGAACCCTTTGAAGAAATTGGTAGATTGTACTGGGATTCCATTCTTGCCCACCCCAATGGGGAAGGGTTTGTTGCCGGACACTCACGAGCTCGCTGCAACTGCGGCGAGATCGCTTGCAATTGGTAAATGCGATGTTGCACTTGTAGTTGGTGCAAGGCTTAATTGGTTGTTGCATTTTGGGGAACCCCCAAAGTGGTCGAAAGATGTGAAGTTCATCTTGGTTGATATAAGCAAGGATGAAATTGAGCTTAGAAAGCCCTATGTGGGATTGGTTGGGCATGCCACAAAGATTGTGGAGATGATTACTAAAGGGATTAAGGATGACCCTTTTTGTTTGGGGAAGACTCATCCTTGGGTTGAAGCTATATGCAAGAAATCAAAAGAAAATGTGTCCAAAATGGAGGCTCAATTGGCAAAGGATGTTGTGCCTTTTAATTTTCTCACACCGATGAGAATTATCAGAGATGCGATTCTTGGAATGGGTAGTCCTGCTCCGATTTTGGTTTCTGAAGGAGCAAATACAATGGACATTGGTCGGGCGGTGTTGGTTCAGATGGAGCCGAGGACTAGGTTGGATGCAGGGACATGGGGGACAATGGGGGTTGGTCTTGGTTATTGCATTGCTGCTGCGGTGGCTTCACCTGACAGGCTTGTGGTTGCAGTCGAAGGGGACTCTGGGTTCGGGTTTAGTGCTATGGAAGTTGAGGTTTGTCTCCTTACTTGTTTATGCTTCTATGCATTATTCTTCATTGATAATAGAAATTCATGTAAAATGCATCATTGCCATCAATCTTGAATTAGCATAATGCTAATTGTCTTGTTGATTTGTGTTTTTGTGCAGTATTCTCATTCTACTGTTTTTTTTTCTCCTACTAGTTTGAATCTTGTGTATTATATATATCATCATAGGTGTCAAAGAAATGTAAGCATTAGGTTGTGTTTAGGATGAATTAAACCCATGCCTACTAGGAGATAGTGACTGTGATCACAGACTTATTGCTACATAGATGGTAGTAAATTTGTCTTCACTGCTAAAAGTTTGAATCAGTTAAATAATTTCATTGGGTGCATTTCTTGGTGGATTGTAACAAGCATTATGAAGAATATACACAAGATATTTTGAATATAAATGGGGCATATTTTAGTGAATCTTGCCTGTGGAATTTGCCGTTTTAGCAGTCAGGGGAAGAAAGAAGTTTTGGAGAACGATGCGCGACCTGGTTGAGAATCTTGCCAATCAAATTCTAATAGGGTGCTAACATGCATTTGACATGTAGCTTGGGGTCATCTGAATTTGATAATCTATTTGCTTTGATTGTCAGCCAAAAAGAATCAGCTTGTATTTTATTTATTTATTTTTTGCTTGCATTTGTTTTTGTTAGCATGTTATTTCTGTGCTCATAGTAGCAACAGCTATAATTTCACTTTTTCTTTGTTTTTTGTTTTTTTTTTTGTTTTCTTCTTCTTTTCTTTGTTTGCTTTTGTAGTTTTTTTTCCCTTTTGAAGACAGTTTTGTTGCCTTGATGCAGTTATTTGATTTCTCTTTAATTTAAACCTTGCTGAATAAAATTGGTTCAGTTGGCGGAAAAATTCTGGAAACAAGACATTATTCTTCTGCTTTTAACAAAAATATGAATTTTTTTGAACATTCCCTACTTAAAAAAGATATTATAGAATATGCAACTTAATCTTGATACTATTGTTGATAATCCAATCTTTATTACTGTTGCATATAACCCGAAACTACTGCAGCTCAATGGTGCAGAGACATTCATCTAAGAGAAGGGTAAAATTAGGAATTCAGTTTTACTGATTGCTAAGAGCAGGAAATGAAATGGGATGCAAATTACATCGAATTGAATCGTTGAGATATCGAGATGTACAAAACTGCCATACTTTTTAATATTTTAAAAGTTCAGCTTGGAGCATCTTTTGATCTTTTAATTAAATTTTCTAGCAGCTTTAAAAAATAACTAGTTAGTGTTACTAGAGGAACATACAAAACAGTCAGTATTAACAAGATAAATTTCAGGGTATGTATTTTCTCTCTTGACTGATCTTATGGAAAGCATTTCATATTATTTTCTCTGTTTGTAGATTAGAAGTAGTTCTGGGGAAATTGTCTCTCATTGTTTTGTTTATTTATTTATTTATCTTGAAACATACAACTGCAATAACTTTGGCAACCACTCAAGAACTTTGGGTTCTTGTAGTTGGCTTTGGTCTGCACAACTCTCTTCTGGATTTTTTTTTGCCTAATGGAAATAATGTATCTATTGTGTGCCTTGTGAACTCTGTAGACATTGGTTCGATACCAGTTGCCCGTGGTGGTGATAGTTTTCAACAACGGTGGTGTATATGGTGGTGATCGGAGAAGCTCCGAAGAAATTACAGGGCCTTACAAGGATGACCCGGCACCCACTTCTTTTGTCCCCGGTGCATCATATCACCTTCTAATTGAAGCTTTTGGGGGCAAAGGTTATCTTGTTGGGACCCCCGATGAACTCAAGTCTGCTCTTGCTGAATCCTTCACTGCCCGGAAACCAGCTGTGATTAATGTTACGATTGATCCATATGCCGGTTCAGAAAGTGGGAGGATGCAGCACAAGAACTAAGGGTGGGCTCAAATCGTTTGTATTTTTATGGATTGTTTGCTGGTGGGAAAGGTGGCTTGCCTGCGACACTGTTCAATAATGTAAAATTCCTGAATCTAGATGCAGAATTATTACTAGGAATAATGTTTTAGAGCACTAGATTGGGAGCTCTAGAGCATCACTAATGATGTGGCACAGTAGCTCCCACCAAAGTGATGTGATGTTTTGGCTTGAGTTTGTTTTTTTTTTAGTTTGTTTTTTTTTTTTTTTTTTTTTTTTAAGCTCATTAGAGCTATTAGTAGTCTAAAAATTAGTGAGATGAATCACCACTCTTATTACTAGCCTGCACACAATTACACATCGAGTTTCTTTGTCATATTAGTCTTCTTTTTCACATAAATGCAGAACAAGTGTTGTGATATTTGTAGCAAGATGATGTACAATGTTAATGGACTCCATTTTCAAATTTCATGTTTGATCTATAGATTCTGTGATGCATTCAATTTTAATGACCTTTTTGGGATCATGGAAATATTGGCCTCTTTGGTGCAACTTATAGAAAATAATGATAGAGCATTAAATATAATGTTCCAAATAATGATAGAGCATTAAATATAATGTTCCAATCTTGTTGCTCTACACTACATGTATTTTTGTAGTTGATTTTATGATTAATTTTGTGTTTGCAAAATTATTAGAGGCAGATTTAAGGGACAATATCATCAATTTCACCAATTTTAGGTACATCAACATGTGTACTCTTTAGAGTCCGTGGGCCATTTTGGGTACATCAACATGTGTACTCTTTTAGAGTTCGACACTTATACCATTTCGCTTTCATGTTTATTTATTTATTTAGTTTTTGTTTTAAAATGTTCATGAGTTGAAGACTCTCCAAATTAGATTGTTTTAAATTCACTTACCAGAATCAAAATGCTATTTAAAGAGGTTGTGGGACTTCTGTTGAAGGCTACGTGGTCAGAGTCTCCACCCAATCCCGTTGTAGTTAGAAGTGGCGAAGCGTGTTTCCTCCTCATGCTTGGTGAAAAGTCTTCTACACAACCTTGAAATAGTCTCCTTTATTTTTAGAAAATATCAATTAATGTAAAAATCGATCATATAATCATATTAAATAATTGTGTTTAATTTTGTGATTCGTAATAAAAACCTTGTGATTATCTTTTTTGGTATATTTGTAACAAAAACAAATATCATATGCGGGAGCTTATAAATACACTTCAAAAAATTTATTAAAAACTTTATTTTTAAATTTCATTCAATTTTTAAAATCCCAATTAATTTCATATCTTTACCCAGCTTAGCCATCCACCCAACCACCATGCGCAACCTCTGTAGCTGGTGCCACCACCTCCCCTTTTTTTCCTAATGTCCATTGCTGCTTCCCATTCAAAAACCCTAGGTTAGAGAGAGACATAGAAGTTCCTATTTGAAGGTGGTGGAGGTGGTAGATGGTGGCTGGTATCGTTTAAGAATAGGTTATTTTAGCTTTGTTTTAGGAATTTAGCTAAAAATTAATTTTTAGTTTTTAATTTATTTTAAGTCATATCATCTTTCACTTTTTTATACATTTTTTCAAAAAAAAGGTTAAGAAAACTAAAAAATCACATTTGAACCAATAAGTCTTTAACTTAAAAAATCACATTTTAACCAATAAGTCTTTAGTTTTTTAATTTTTTATAAAAAAATAGAGAGAATAATATGAAAAATAGAGAGAATAGTATGATAATTAATAGTATTTTTAACTTTTTGACTAAGGGGTTGTTTGTGATGTTCTAAATAAGTACATTTTTTATCTTTTTGGACTAAAAAGTTGAGAAAAAAAATGGATGTTTAGGTTAACTTTTTGACTTTTTACAAAAAAAATATGTATTAAAAAATTGTATAAATAAGTGTATATGAGAAGTTTTAGTGAAGTAGACAGTACGGCCCGTACAGTCTGGGCAGAGTAGTGGGCTAAGTAGGAGATAGGAAATGGTTGCTTCCTTTTCGTGCTTGAATTGGACGGTGTTGTTTGGCCCGTGGGGGTCCACCACGAGTTCCGTTTTGCTAATTGGAACTGTTCAATATGTAGAACGCGTTGAGTAATATATCCTTCTAAAAAATCGCGTTAATCGGATATCGATAACTATTTGATCATATTAATTTTTTGTCAACCGTTAACTATAACACCATCCATTTTTTATACACGTAACAACCCGACCCATGATTAACGTTAATCCATGCTTAAGTATGCCTAACAAGTAATTAGGGAGAAATCCTGAGTTAATTATATGTGCATTGCATTATTTTTGTATTTATATCTGTTTAACGTAAGAAGATCTGTTCATGTTTTTGTTTCGGTTTGCGAGTTAAAGACCTTATCGGCATCTGATTTTGAAATTGACTTGATATACGTGTTATTTGGAATCTTTAGGAATTTATGGTGAGTTCAATTTGAAATTGATTCGGAATCAAATAATTAGAATCAAATAATTCCAATTAATTAATCTAAGCTTGAATTAATTAAGCTCCACTAATTAGTCTATATAAGGCCACTACCAAGCCCAAGACTTATTTTCTCTTCATCCATTTTGAGCTCAAACGTATAGAAGAAGGAGAAGAGAGAGATTGAAACCAAACATTTAAGGAAAAAGAGAATTAAGAAAGAATTAGGAGAGATTGAAGGGAATTGAGGAAGTTTAGTTCCAACACTAGCTAACTCAAGATTTGAGGTAGGAAATTTAACTCTTTAATTATGAAATTGAATTACTTAGTGCAAGAATTCAAGGGAATTAGAGGTTTGAGCACGAGAATTAAATTAAGAATGTAGAATGAAAGAGTAATTCATGCATTTTGAGTTTAATTTCAAGAATTCCCTCATCCATGTCTTGAATTCACCCTAATTTTGGGAAATCATCAAGTTTCATGTTGTTTTGTAGCATTTGATCATGTTTTGAGAAAATTGAGTTCAAAGGAATTCATGCATGTCATGTTCATGGGACATTCATAAATTTTAAGTTGAATTTTTGCATAATTGGCAAGCTATTGGACCATGATTTCTTGAAATGATCCTTAATTCATGATATTTTATGAGTTTCTCAATGTTTCCTCAAGTTTGGCCCAGAAAAAATTGAGCTTTAATGTCTTAAGAATGAGTTTTGAAACTTTGAAGCAATTCTGGATATTCCATAATTCTGCTTCCATGCTCGAGCGACAGATTCCACGCTCGAGCGACCACTCTGTGTCTTAAACTTTCACTCGAGCAACCAAAGGCTGGCTCGAGCGTGAAATGCATGCTCCCAAAAGTTCTTATGTTTTGCAACACGCTCGAGCAATAAAAGTTGCGCTCGAGCGAGGGCATGTCTCTCACGCTTGAGCGAGTGTTGAGCGAGCGTCGAGTGGGAAAAACAAGCAACCAGTACTTTTTCAAAGTTTGCAGACCGCTCGAGCGAAGGAAGTTGCGCTCAAGCGGACCCTCACATTTTACATGTACGCTCGAGCGAGGAAAGCCACGCTTGAGCGTGGACCTTGTTTTCAGCAAGTTCTGAAAAATGTTTTTAAGTACATTTTTGCATCATCATTCCATCCTAAGCATTCCTAGGCCAAGGTTAAAACACTATGATGAGGATAAAGACTAGAAACACATTAAAAACAAATGAAATAAGTCATGTATAATCCGAGCATGTGTTCCAATGTATGTATTTGTCATGTTATATGGGTCATGCACCTCAAGTTAAGTGAATTGTCTACTCTACTCGTCTATTTGGAGCCACTGGTTATCTGTGAGTAATGATTTAGTAAAGCTGTGTTCTAATTAAATTACTTTTGGTATATGGACTAAGATCTATGCCATGTATGCTATGTGTTTACACTATGAATGATTGTCCGCCTTTAGCAAATATTTAGGACATTAATGCTATAATTCAAGTATGCTATCCATACCCGGACCGGAGGTTCCTTAATGGAACTAGCAAGTTATCTGTACCCGGCTGGAGGTTCCTTTATGGAACTTACAAGTTATTCGTACCCAGTCCGGAGATTCCTTAATGGAATTGGCAAATTATCTGTACCCGGCTGAAGGTTCCTTTATGGAACTGACAAGTTATCCGTACCCAGTCCAGAGGTTCCTTTATGGAACTGGCAAGTTATCCATACCCGGCCGGAGGTTCCTCTATGGAATTGACAAGTATGATCTATGATGTTCTGTATATGATCTATTAGCGCTAACAGATGAACTATGAATGATTAAGAATGATTCTTGAATTCTGTATACACATTGAATGAGAACACAAATATAAATTGGTTCTATGTATGGACTTAATTGTGGGGTATCATTCATTTAACCCTTTACTCTATTATTATTCACTAGGCTTCTACTCATTATTTATATTACGTATGTAGGTGATCAGGCACGTGACCAGGCTCAGAGTTGAGGACCTGGAGTTTCAGTTTTGACAGCCAGCCTTCGTGCCTCCCGAGAAGGTTCCGATTTAAGTCAAGCCTTGTGGCTGTGTTTTGGGGATGTATAAGTTTTTGTTCCTTTTGATTTACGAACAAGTTTTCTATTGTGTTTACATAAAGTGACTTAATTGCTGCATTTTGTTTTGATCACACGTATGGTTATGAAAGTTCGAAGTTATTAGTCCCATGTATGTCTTCACAGCTCGTTGGACTATGTATATTTCATATACTTGCTTCTGCAGCCCCTATTGATATGCTATTATGTTAAGAGGCCTTCGGTAATTCAAGGATTACTGGCCGGTTACGACATTAAACCTATAGGGGCGGGTTTGGGTCGTGATAATATAAAATTGATTTGATCATGTAGTTAGTGATATCCGATCAAAGTGATTTTTTACAGGCATATAGTACTCGACAAGTTCTGCACATTAAACGGTTCAGATTATCAAACCGGGACCCGTGATAGACCCCCAAGGGCTGAACAATACTGTGTTGTTTGTGCATCCTGCTTGTGCAATTTTTCCAAAAAAGTCAGCAAAGTCAGGGGGCAGACAGGCACCAGTTGTAATAATTAAGTATAAAATTAATTTTTTTAATATTTTTTTTGATGAATAATAATAAATTTTTAATTTTTTAAATAATTTTTTGACTTTTTAATTTTTTTTTCATGTATTCCAAACCAAGCCTAAAAGTAAAAGTTGACCAACAAGCGTCGATGAATAAATTTTAGAGTTTTGTCATTGTCATTGTTTCGTGCATCCTAATGGACACCCAAATCATGGACCAAATGTTTGCAATATTGATATTTTTTTTATAAATTAATAATTTAAATTTTATTTTTTTATTTACAAACTCAACATCTAAGAAAATAAATTTCACATAATATTTATTAATTTAGCATTAGCTTTTTCAGTTGGCTTTTTTGAATTGAGATTTTTTTAGTCTGACTTTTTTAATCTCGTTTGGTTTGGTTTGTTTTTTTTGACATTTATAAGAGAAAAAATATAATGATTATGATTTAAATGTAACATTTATCTTATTAACTTATGTAGTCAATTTTATATTTTTATACTTTTTTAGCTAAAAATCTAAAATCAAACAAAGCTTTAATGAATTTTAATGAGTAGACAATCTAGATTTCTAATCTAAACATATCGAACTCTTTGACACGTGAAATTTTAGTTGTTTTTTGGTTAAAATTTACAAAAAATAAAAATAATTAATAAGACAAAATATTATATCAAATCTACGATTATTTTACTTTTTTCTCTCATAAAAATTATATCTAATTACAAAAAAATCTAACCATCTTTTCAGATACAAACATTTCAACCTACTAAAATAATCAAAAATTAAAATAATTTACTAAAATAGCTAACTTTTCAAACTAGGTCATAATTTAATTGTTTGGATAACAATCAAAAAGTCATTACAAAAAAATTAACTATTATTTTTATTTTTTTGTACATAATTTTATAAATTAAAAAAAAAAAAAAACTAAAGTCAATTTTCAAACCATCTCTAAAGTCACTTCATCAAACTTTTTTACTCTTAAATTACATATATATTAAAATAGCATACACCAATCAAGAATTAAAAGATTTTCATAAAATATTACATAATATTTTTTTTAGAAAAATACATTGGAACTTTAATTATTACTTTAAAATCAGTTTTAATGAGATAATAATAAATTTCACTCAGTATAATGTGATATTTTAGTTTCATTTATTTAGTTTTCTCATTATATTAGTACAATATTAACCCTCTAAAGAACTATTTTGAAAAGATTATTATAATTAATATTTTGTAAAAAAATAAATAAATTATAATCAGAGGAGTGAAGTATAACATACCTCCTCAAAAGGCCTAAATCATTGCTGATTTTTTTTTCAATGATTCATACGAGAGTCACATTTAAATATTTGTCTATCTACTCCCAACTCTCTTTCCCATCCTACTATTCCGTCACCTCCTCACTCCGATATTCCAGAGAACAAGTACTCACTGTCACATACACAGAGAACTATAGTTATACATATACGTATAGATATATATATATATATAGAGAGAGAGAGAGAGAGAGGCAGAGATGTGGAGGTGCGTCTACCGTGGCCTTCGTCTTCCTTCGAATCGATCGATCTCCCTCAAACCCCACATTCGAAGACCCTTCTCCACTGAATCAGTACGTATTCTCTCAATCCTCTGAATCTTAGGGTTGTTGAATCTCCTTGTACTCCTCACTCCTGCAATTTCGTCTATTAATTGATTGTCTTAGTTCAATCTAATTGATGGTTCATGCTTTGGATTCTGATTTCTCAGTACAATGTTTGATTGATTGTATTTGGTTTTAATTTTTCGCAAAAATTATTTCGAAGCAGACTGGGGGACGATCGTCGTATACTGTAGTTGATCATACGTACGATGCGGTTGTCGTAGGTGCTGGTGGTGCCGGGCTCAGAGCAGCCATAGGGCTTTCTGAGCATGGATTCAATACCGCTTGCATTACCAAGCTATTCCCTACTCGTTCACATACTGTTGCAGCTCAGGTATCAATCATGCTATCTGCTTTCTTTAGGTATATTTCAGCTGTGTTTTGTTGTATTTATGTGTTTTGGCGTTGTCTTTCATTTGAAAATTTATTCATGTGATTTGTTGATATGGAGAGTTATAGATTTCATTTTTAAAAAGATGAAAAAAAAGTGACTTGAAGAAGAACTGAGTACCAAACAAAAGTCTTAAATCCCCTATTAGGGAAAAGTAATTTTTTACCCAGAGTGTTTTTAAGATAAATTTTAATGAATTTGTTCACAAACTTTTGGAGTGTGTGAACAATACATTGATTCTGATTGGTGCAAGATATCAAATTCTGTTGTAACTACCCCACCTAAATGTGTGGACCCCACTATTTTTTACCAATCACAAAGTGTGACACACTGGTTTGAGTGTGTGAACAAAATTGGACTCCCAAAAGAAATTCTTAAAAATACAATTTCAATAATAGTTTTTGCACAATGATTGGTTATATACATGATTAGGAATTTTTTCCAAATTGGAAAAATTTCGTATATGGTTTTTTCCAAATTGGAATTTTTCTAAAATGGAAAAATTTTATATATATAATCAGGCTTATTCCTCTCACTCTTTAGTGAAAGGGATGGTTAGCTGTCCTCCTTTGGCTGCGTTACCCCAAGTGAAGCAGAGAACTCAAAATGTTTCATTCTCCCTTCATTACAATTTTCAGAGTGAAAGTGGAGATTTAGCTATCGTTAGCTGCTGAGTTTTTTTTATTTTTTTATGTACTTGGGTGGTGTCCCATTACTAGGATTTCATTATCAAAGGGGCCAAAAGAAAAATAATTTTTTTCACCATATAACAAAACACACATGTATGTATATATGATATATAAATTACATATATATAAATAAATAAAAAAAATTAAATATCATAGAAGCAATTTCTAATAAGATGAATAACTTTTTTTTTTTTTTATGTAAAATAGAAAGAGAATTCAAGATGGAAGAAGAATAACATATATATTTTTTATATTGGGGGGCCATTTTATATATAAAATGATATATATATATATATATATATTTAAAATTCTATGGCAAACAATATTTTTCATAAAAATAGGGAGCCATGGCTCCCTATAATTTTCTCCTAATTCCGTCCTTTCATGTACCTATCATTATTTCAAACAATAAAAATACAATTTCAATAATAGTTTTTGCACAATGACTGGTTATATACATGATTAGGAATTTTTTCCAAATTGGAAAAATTTCGTATATGGTTTTTTCCAAATTGGAATTTTTCGAAAATGGAAAAATTTTATATATATAATCAGGCTTATTCCTCTCACTCTTTAGTGAAAGAGATTGTTAGCTGTCCTCCTTTGGCTGCGTTACCCCAAGTGAAGCAGAGAACTCAAAATGTTTCATTCTTCCTTCATTACAATTTTCAGAGTGAAAGTGGAGATTTAGCTATCGTTAGCCGCTGAGTTTTTTTTATTTTTTTGTGTACTTGGGTGGTGTCCCATTACTAGGATTTCATTATCAAAGGGGCCAAAAGAAAAATAATTTTTTTCACCATATAACAAAACACACATGTATGTATATATCATATATAAATTATATATATATAAATAAATAAAAAAATTAAATACCATAGAAGCAATTTCTAATAGGATGAATAACTTTTTTTTTGATGTAAAATAGAAAGAGAATTCAAGATGGAAGAAGAATAACATATATATTTTTTATATTGGGGGGCCATTTTATATATAAAATGATATATATATATATATTTTTAAAATTCTATGGCAAACAATAATGTTCACAGAAGCAGGGGAGTCATGGCCCACTTGTAGTCTTCTCCTAGTTTCGTCCCTACACAAGTGTCACCATGTAAATTCTGTTTATGATGAGATGGATATATTTGTAATTAATTACTGACAGGAAAAACTCTGTACAGGGTGGTATAAATGCTGCATTAGGGAATATGACCGAAGATGATTGGAGGTGGCACATGTATGACACAGTAAAGGGCAGTGATTGGCTAGGTAAAAATGATTGTCAAGTTGGACACGCTTTTGCTTTCTATTGTGTGTATATGGACAAATTATTTTACATGCATGAAATATCGTCACAATCATAAACACCAATTCATTTGTATCAGAATTAAAAATTTGTTGGATATTTTTGTTTTGCTTTCCTCTAAAGGAAAAAAAGCTTACTTACCCAAAAAAAAGGAAAAAAAGCTTACTTGCTTACTTGTCATGACATGAGTATTACTACCTTTTTGTAAGTTTGTTCTCTCTCTCTCTCTCTCTCTTTCTATTTCTATGTATCTTCATGCAAGTTCTATGATGATTCTATAGGTGACCAAGATGCTATTCAATATATGTGTAGAGAGGCTCCGAAAGCAGTCATAGAGCTTGAGAACTATGGGTTACCATTTTCCCGGACTGAAGACGGTAAAATTTATCAAAGGGCATTTGGTGGTCAAAGTTTAAACTTTGGGAAAGGTGTGAAGATGCGAGTTTATAATTGCAATGTCATTACATGATTTCCATGAAGTGTTGTCTGATCTTGGCTTTCTCTTGATATTCTATAGGTGGACAAGCATATCGTTGTGCCTGTGCTGCTGATCGAACTGGCCATGCTTTGTTGCATACTCTTTATGGCCAAGCTATGAAACACAATACCCAATTTTTTGTCGAATATTTTGCTCTGGATCTGTTAATGGGTAGTGATGGTATGTTAATGTCTAGGCACTTACCATGTCAAGATTCTCTACAAAATTTCATTTTTTATTTTATTATTGTTATTATATTTGCACTTGAAGAAAAATATCTGTGGGGGATTTGTTGCAATTTTGTGTTTAGCTAAGTTCATAGGAGAGTATACCACTGAAACCTTACTCTTCTCAAGCTGGAAATTAAAATTGTAGGACCCATTGAAGTTATGCTCGACACTGAAGCTAAGAGTGTTGATACCCAACTGTATTTACTAGAAATTCATTTATAATTTTTCTTATTACTAAGCCTAAGTATCTGAATTATGAATTGTGTTCTTATAACCTATTAATCAGATAGATAATTTTTTTGAAAGAACTGTTCAAGGAAGATTAGTTAGTCCACAAACTTAGAATTGATTATTTTATAATATATACTACAAGCTTTTTTTGTGTCTAATATATTCCCTGGTTTATCATATCGTGTTACAAGTCCATTCTATGTCTGTTTGAGACTCATTATATGATTGGAGTACATTTGAAAACAGGCATACATATAAATACATAAATATATATATACCAACATATCCTTGATCAACTTAACCTGGTTTAGTAATTGCAATTCTCACATCTTCCAGTAATTTTTTTATTTGTTAAAGATAGTTTGTTATTGATTTACGTATCAGGTAGCTGCCAAGGAGTAATTGCATTAAATATGGAGGATGGGACATTGCATCGGTTCCGTGCTGCATCAACAATTCTGGCCACTGGGGTATTCATCTATGCCATTGATGAGTATTAATTTCAAATCAGCAATATCTGAATCTAATATATATTGTTTTTTTTATGTTTCTCTCAGGGCTATGGTAGGGCATACTTCTCTGCAACCTCAGCTCATACGTGCACTGGTGATGGCAATGCCATGGTTGCTCGTGCTGGGCTACCTCTCGAGGTCTGTTTTCTTGCTTTTATTTTAAATGCTTTTTATTTATTTATTAGTATCAACTAATGTTTATATTTTATTCTTGTAGGATCTTGAGTTTGTGCAGTTCCACCCAACAGGCATATATGGTGCTGGGTGCCTCATCACGGAAGGTTGGTGCTTTTTATATTATAGATGGGACTTGCGACGTACTATATGAGGATTCAATCTATTTGATGATTTATCTCGTATGCTAAATGGATTCGGGTACGGATGTTGGCTGATGGTATGTGTCTAAGTGTTAGATTCATCTAATTCTCTTGCCCAAGGACACTTCGACTTGGCTAAGCCTCATATTTCTTTGATTTATGTAAGATAAAATGGTATTTACAAACTAATATGGGAGTTTTTATGAATAGAATGCAAGTCCTGTGCATATAGTAAACTTTACTTAAAACATATTTATTGGTGCATGTCCTACTAGACATATTGGACACATATCTCATACCCTACCCACATTAATTGGGTGTACGACACTAGTACTTGACAATTTAAAATAGTCCATGTATCATGTTGGTCTCCTGGTCTGCCCAGTTTACTATTCTATGGTGTTTGTCTATTTTGAATTGCAATACTTGCGAGAAGGAAAGAAAAAAAAAATCAATACACTTTTTCAGTCTCATACAATGATTTGTTGTCTATAGATGGTTCCTGATTTCTTTCTGCCACTTGTAGGATCTCGTGGTGAAGGTGGTATTCTGAGGAACAGTGAAGGTGAGCGATTTATGGAACGGTATGCCCCTACTGCCAAGGATCTTGCATCAAGAGATGTTGTTTCAAGATCTATGACTATGGAAATCCGAGAAGGACGTGGTGTAGGTATGATCTTATTACTACGGTCAAATTGTACTAGAATTATAGAAATATAGTAAAAGTATTGGCTTGAACGAGGAGCTGATCTATAGGAAATTTGCCTCATTATCTATGTTATGTTAGAAGTGTGCGTAATCTGGTGATGTTAGTTCAATTGCTAGCCATTCGTAAGTAATAGAAATATGCTATTTTGTTTCTCCATTATTTATTTCTTTGTGTTTGTAATTTGTATGCAATTTAATGTTTAGTTCAGTGCTGAAACCTCCTTGACTGATTTTGCTTAATCTGATTCTTGTTATATGCTCTAATAAACATATGCTGATTTTGAATAGGAGTACACAAGGACCACATTTATCTTCACTTAAACCACTTGCCCCCGGAAGTTCTCAAGGAGAGACTTCCTGGTATCTCTGAAACTGCTGCCATCTTTGCTGGTGTTGATGTTACAAAAGAGCCGATCCCTGTTTTACCTACTGTTCATTATAATATGGGCGGAATTCCCACAAATTACCATGGAGAGGTAAAAGCTAAGTTTAATGTGTAAAGTTGATAGAGTAGTGCTACGATGACCATCTATTTCTACCATCTTATTTTGCATTCAAAATATTCATGAGTGGTGGGACCCGTTACACTGATATTGTGTTGACAAGTAAGATGGTTAGCATGATATGATATAGAAATGTGGTAAGTGTAGCATTTTTAAAGTTGAAAAATGATAATACATACATAATTTTTATACAAAATTTAAAGCAAGAATGATGTGGCAATTGTATTCTTGTAATTAGGAACCAAAGTGATGGGCATTTTGACTTCAAATGAATGGCTATAAATGAGACACATCATTTTGTATGAGTTTTTTGTATACAAATTCTATTTGTATAGCATTACTCATTGAAGTTGATATCATGGCATTCTGCTTCCAAACAAGAATGATGTGGCAATTGTATTCTTGTAATTAGGAACCAAAGCGATGGGCATTTTGACTTCCAATGAATGGCTATAAATGAGACACCTCATTTTGTATGAGTTTTTTGTATACAAATTCTATTTGTATAGCATTACTCATTGAAGTTGATATCATGGCATTCTGCTTCCAAATAAAAAGTAATTGTGAAGGTATTATCTTTCCAACTAGTGTGATGTTTTTGTCCCCAGGTAGTGACCATTAAAGGTAATGATCCAGATGCAGTGATTCCTGGATTAATGGCTGCTGGGGAGGCAGCCTGTGCATCAGTTCATGGTGCCAATCGGCTTGGTGCAAATTCTCTTCTTGACATTGTTGTTTTTGGTCGAGCTTGTGCAAATAGGGTTGCAGAGATCTATAAACCAGGCAAGTTGTGTCAGGTTTCGATTAATAAATCTTGTTTGAACTATGCTGTAAAAACTTAGATAAATCCACTTGCTTTTGTGCAGGGGAGAAACAAAAACCTTTGGAAAAGGTTGCAGGTGAGAAGACTATTGCATGGTTGGACAAGATAAGGAATTCAAATGGTGCACTTCCAACTTCACAGATTCGGTTGAATATGCAACGGATTATGCAAAATAATGCTGCTGTGTTCAGGACACAAGAAACATTGGAGGAAGGTATGTGATAAAGCACATACAAATCCCACACAAACATTAAACAAAAGAAAGTTGAAAATGGAAAGAAACTGTTTTTGTTCCTTAACTTATTCCTATGTTAGAGGACATTTCACTTCATTAATTGAACAGATTGCATATATTGTGGTTATTAGAAATGGAAAACGGCTTGAAACTAATACTGCTATTGTTATTGTTATTGTTATTGTGTCTTCTTCTATTTCAGGTTGTCAGTTAATTGATAAGGCGTGGAAAAGCTTTCACGATGTTAAATTGAAGGATCGAAGTTTGATATGGTAAAATTTGTGTATATTGATTGACACTGCTATCCCACACAATTCATTCATTTTAATAGGCCTAAAATATACATCTTTGGCCAGGAACTCGGATCTGGTTGAGACTATAGAATTAGAAAACCTTTTGATAAATGCATGCATTACCATGCATTCTGCTGAAGCTAGAAAAGAAAGCAGAGGAGCACATGCCCGCGAAGATTTTACGGTTAGTTGAGATTTGTGTTCAGTTAATATTTTCTCTGCTTGGATGCTGATGGAACTGAAATGCTGTGTTGGCAGAAAAGAGATGATGAGAATTGGATGAAACACACAATGGGGTAAGTCTTCTATTCTCCAATCCCCCCCCCCCCCCCCCCCAAAACCAATTTCTTTATTTATTTTTATTTTATTGATCAGGAACAAAATAATGACATAAATTAAAATTTAAGCAGCAGTATAAGGGTGGGTGAACATGGACTCCTCCAAGGATGAACAAAAAATAAAAAATCTCGCCACAAGTCACACACTGCCCTTCAATCTTCATAAACAAAAACAATGGTATCTCCTTAATAGTAGAAGATACTGAGACCCTGAAAGAGGCCAAGTGACAAACTTTATTCCATAATGAATCAGCATCCCTTGAACCAAATAACCCCAAAAATTGCACAAGATAGACAATCCCTCAAAATCTTCTTGCTTTTTTGTTGCAACCAAAGCCCCAAAAATCAATCCAAGAGCATTTGACAGCATAGCACGAAGCTGGAACCACCCAACAAGTCTCCATCTGAAGGTTTGTTGTTCTCCCAGTAAGGTTGATGAAACAATTCTAGAGTCTTGGTTTTTGGTCTAAAAACTAGGTTGATTTGCATTCTGTCATGGAGGCCTTGCATATTTGCTGATAAACACATGTTGAACTTAGGGTACCTATCATGTGTGACTTCAGGGAAAGGTCTCCGTATGGGTTCGATTAATTTGAATCTGTGGCTTGGTGCCCAACAGAGTGGGTATGCTGAGTTGAGGGACGGTCCTATGTAAAAATAAGCATATTTTTGTATCCACGTTGAGTTATAAAAAATAGCAGCCATAAGTCATGTATTTCTCAATAAATGTGATGAAGTAAATAGCAACTTGAGTCAATTTCATGCAAATGGGCAGTGGCAATCACAAAATGAAAAAAAGAAATTGCCCATAATTGCTGGTGTGAATGTTGTTGATAAAGTAGCTTTATTTACTTTTGTGGTTCAAAATGCGAGTTCACTAACAAAAAGAAATATATAATAATAATAATAATAATAATGGAATTGCTAGCAGCATTGATTCTGGATCTTGATGTTAATCTTAAAGGCATTCTGTCTACTCTTGGTTTCCGTTGTTTGATGGCAGTAGGTAGTTCTTTTATGCAATGATGACAACAAAATGTAGTTAATTATGAGGCATGATTTTGTACTGAATTCAAATTCATGTATTTTATAGCCTTAACAACGGAATATTATTAGTTTCATTGTTTAAAGCCTATGTTCATTATGATCTGCAGATATTGGGAGAATGAGAAGGTTCGGCTAGACTACAGGCCAGTTCACATGAACACATTGGATGATGAAATTGAGTCATTCCCGCCTAAAGCTCGTGTGTATTGAGACGTTTGCACGTACCAAAATGGTTGGCCAAGTTGTGCAGATGATTTATTTTGAAGTTAAGGTTTGAAATAAATAGTTCAAAACACAGAATTTTGGGAATAATTGATGAATAAAAATGGGGGGCTTTATTAAAATCTTGAATTGGAAACTAGCTTTAGTATCGGCATTAGCGAATAACACCTTCTTTCTACCCTCTATTGATCACCAAAATTTATCATTTTGGATTTATTTTGGAATTTTTTAAATTATTATTTATTTACTTGTATGTTAGGTATCCGCTTTTCTTTTTACTTTTATTTTATGTCATGTACCTTAGGCTATAATTTTATCTTCTATATTTACTTTTTGAATACTGTTTGGACAAAAATAAATAAATAAATAAATAAAACAAGATCATCAGGTTGTAATTTGGTCTAGTTGAGACCAATTTTGAGAAATCTGTTTCAATTTTTGCATTGCATTGCATTGCATGGTCTTTGTTTAGAAATAATCAGTTCCAATTCCACATAAATAAGACCCAAAACAAATGTAATCTGTCAGTATTCCTTTAAAACATGTGTTCTTTCTTCTCTCGATCGTATTCATGTATTAGAAAAATAAATAAAGAAATAAATGCAAATTTTGACCCATGGCTGTGCTATTTTCTTACTGTGTATATAACATTGCAAAATAAAAAATCAAAAATAAATAAAAAAAATCATTGCAAATACACATATATGGTGTACTATTAGTAATTTAAGGGTATCGCAAATACCTATAATTGAGTGAACATGATCACATTATGCAATAGGAACGTGGCCAAAGCGGTTTTTATTTTTATTTTTTATTTTTATTAAATATAATACTGTGACATTCCGACATGGTAGGATTGAAATAACATGATTTACCATCTTAAAATAAGTTCTCATAATAATGCCATCTGTAAATTTTTGGCAAAGAAAAATAACTTCATTCCATGAGTTGTGTTCTGCAAACACTGCAATAAACAACAGGACAAACGATGATCGATCATACAAGCTAGTTGGTGTTGTCTATATATATATATATATATTTATAACCCATGATTCAATAATTAAAATTTGGATTGCTGTGGCAATGTCTTGTGAGTAATGAGTAGTTTTCTCAATTATTTGTAAATGAAAAAGAAAAAGTGAAGAAAACTAAAAAGTAATTGTGTATCCCACCAACAAGGTCTTTCTGTGGGCAAAGTACCAACTATGCTAGAGAAATATATTCAAAAAGGCAATAGATTGCAAGATATTACTTTCTAAATTATATGTTTGAGAAAATCGGTACTTTTTTTTTAGATTTGAACTATTTTTTGTTGTTTATTTTTGTTTTGTTATTTGGTTGGGTTGACCCTTTAGAGACTTGTTTATGTAATATTGTTTATTAATATAATGTTTTCCATATTCTCTTTTTTTTTAAAAAAAAAAGCACTAGATTATAGATTGTGTTTCTCTATTTTATTTCTACTACTTCAAAAATATATATATATATATATATATGTACTTTTTACTACTAATACTGGTAATTCCACTAAAACATTTTTTTGTCAATAAATCACTCTATTGCGAGTTTGAATAACAGCAGCACCTTCAAGAAATATATATATTTTTGATTAAATAAAACAAGTAAATCATTGAAAAAACTGCTCTATTAACGTAACCAACTAAAGTTTCCTTTGGCATTGGCTACCAAAGCTAACTTTTTCGTATTGAAACTTTTTTAGCTTGATTTTTTTTTTAACCTCGTTTGATTTTTATTTTTGATTTTTTTTAACTTTTGTAAGAAAAAAAATATAATAATTATGATTTAAATGTGATATTTTGTCTTATGGCCTTATATAAGTATATTTTGTCTTTTCGTGTTTTTTTATTCCCAAAATGTTTACCAAAAAGAAAGCTTGTTTCGCATGCACAAAAAAAATACACTTTTTTTTTTATACACTCACTTATTTGAGTTGCATCAATCAATATCTATTAACAACTCATCCCTACTTTTCTATCCACTTTCTTTATTTTTTTACACATTTTTTTATATCAAAAATAAAAAAATACACTTTTCTACACTTTACATCTTTATCTATCACATGTTCCTAATATTTCATTTTATTTTTGAAACTTTTCGGTAACGTTTGGTAGAGTTTTCTAAATATGATTTAATAATAGAGTTGTATTTTGAGTTTGTGAGTTTTGAAATTATGATTTGAGTGGAAAATTTGTTTGGTGAATGAGTTTTAAAAAGAGTTTTGAATTGAGTGGGAAATTTTTGATGTGATATATGATATTTAATACAAAAACATACAATTCATAACCAAACACACAATTCAAAATTTTATTCAAAACTCATAATTTTTTAAAAAAATTCCAATTTTTTTTTTATATTGAAAATATAAAAATAACAAGTGTCAATTGTCAAAAAAAAAAATAGCACTGTTACGGTCAACCGGCCGGATGTCTGGGAGGACTACCGGTTAGCCCAATTTTCCCGCCTTGGAAAGAATTTTCAAAAGTGAGTGTGAAATTAACTTTTGAAAACTGTAAACAAACAAGACACTAAAAAGTGAGAGTAGAAATATGTTTAGAGAGCTCTACCAAACAGAGCCTTCTTTCCTCTTTTTTTTTTTTTTTTTGGTGAAAATATTACACTAATTTTTCGTAAAGTTTAAGATGAGTTCTACAATCTTGATATAATTATGTTAGAATGATCAATTCATGGTTTCATATACACAAATTACATATATCTGAAGGGAAACAAATTTCCACTCTTTTTTCACTTCCCCCCTCCTGCAGTAAGCCACAAATAAAAGAAACATCTAAACATTAGGCATATATGGACAGACAAGCTGCAAAGATAAGATAACAAAGCTATTTTGGTTTCAAAAAGAGCTTCACAAAGTCCTATATATCCATAATGGTATGTTTTTAATTCTAAGCTTGTAATTGAGTTAAATTCATTTTGTATTGTAGGGTCTTTCCTTCATAAAAATAAAATTATAAAAAAAAATTTCAGAGTTTTACAACAAAAATAAATCTTAAATTTTTAATTTTTTTTTAATTTAAATCATAAATTTTTATTTGTTTTCAATTTAAATCATTTATATGTTTTTATTATGTAAAATCAATAAAAAAAAAAATTGAGTATTTCAGTCATTAAATTCAATAAAAAAAATATTTTAGACGCTAAATTTAATAACTAAAATATTTTTTTATCATTTTACTTGACAAATATGGACTAATGGTTTAGATTAAAAATAAATTAAAAAAATAAATTTAAAATTAATAAAATTAAAAACTTGATATTTATTTTGTTAGAAATCTCCGATGAAATTTATTTTATAATTAACCTTTTAAATTTTTATAATGCTTTCCTATCTCATAAAATCAAACTAAGAATTTTGATTAATAAAAAAACTTATTGTCCTGAAGACATTCACACCCCATCATCTGATAAAAACACACACTTGTTATTACACAAAACGGATAGATTCACTCAACAATTACTGAAAATGCAGATACATATTACAAACTTCTGACCCCAAAAAAAATTAAAAATAAATAAAATAGCTTTCTCTCAGAATATGGATACAAGTATGATGAAGCTTTTATTCATTGTGTTTGCGATCGCGATCGGATCCGATTTATATGAAGAAACTTAACTATCAGCTGTAGTCTGGTGTCGCGCTTTTTCCTTTTCCGCAACTTCGCTTCCTTGGCTCTTGTCATATGCTTTATATACCCGCCCACATATAATTCAATGCATAGATGGAATTAGAATAATTTTGCTTCTCTTTGGCATACGATAACAACTTTATTAAAATATAAAAGTACAAACCCAGCTTTTAACAATTTTTAATCTAATTTTGGAATCGCAGATTTTTTTCATATAATATGAATAAAAATATGTGAATGAAAAGGAGAAAATAAAAAAATAAACAAATAGAGAGAAAAATAAAAATGAGAGAAAATAAAAAAAATAAAAATAAATGTTGTGTAGATTCAAAAATAAACAAAGATAAATGTTTGTTTAGCAAAAATATCATCATTTTCCATCTATACATGACTCCGCATTTGCCCTACACTTTCAATTAATTTATTTTCAGAAATAGTCACAGAATTTGTTAATCACTGCGTTGAGTTTGCAATTTTGTTCGTGACAGTTTTATTTGTGTGCATATTTTTCATAAAAACAATAATACAAGTAATTAATTAGATTAAATGAAGTCAAAATCATAAACACTCAAGTCTAAGATCAAGGGAAACAAAATCACACTAGTGCTCAAGCTGATTACCGATCTAATTTGCCCTAGAGAGAGAGAGAGAGTTGTTACCAGGGTGGTTCTCATGGATCATCCGATCCTGTTCAATTTTGGAAGCAGCGTCGCTGGCTTCGCAAGTGGTCCCACCAAACCCTTCTTCATCCGACCTCGACGCATATCCTTCTCCAAATGAATGAGACATCACATCCCTACCATAACCCCCCCACCCCAATTCACAAACAACCACAACAACATTACATAATCAGCCATTAAAATGGAATTTACATACATACACGCATACATATATAGATGGAAAAATAAACAAAAACCAACCCGGTTTTAGCGTTTGGGTTATTGTTTTGTTTTTGTTCCATGTCGGATTTTTTATTAGATTCCTGCCGGAATTTGAGACCAGAACTAGAACAGCTTCGACGGCCGATGTGGTACGGAATTGGTGACGATAACAGAGATTGTGGTTGAGCTCTGGCTAACCTGATTGCGTTAAGCATGGCTCCTTCGGTGTTTTTTTTTTTTTATCAATGCTGTTTTTGGATTGTGATGTGATCAAATATTTTGATTCATCATCCAAGTATGTGATGAGATGGGTTTTTATATGGTATGGATGGACAAAAGAGGAAAGAGAAAGAGAAGAGCTTTGTGAAAGTTAGGGTCGGTTAGGCAACGAATCCAGTTAAGCGGTGGGGGATCCTGGTCATGCTGCGAAGAAAGGGTTGGTTGTAGATTGACACGTGTAGATTGCCTCAGAGGTTCGTTCGCATTGATGGTGGTGGTGGTGGTGGTGGTGAGTGTTTCTCTCTCTGTTGCTCCGCGTTGAAGATCGTCGACAAAAGATGAATAAAATTCCAATTTCTGCTTCTTTGTTTGTTTTATTGGGGTTTATTTGGCATAATATAACTATCTCTCTAATTTCTCATATATATATTTTTTTTTATAAAAAATTAAAAAATATATTTATTTAAATTATATCAAACAGCTTCATACAACTCCCTACTTTGCGAAAAATATGACATTTGGTCTACATTTAAACACTTTTCCTCCATTGAAGACCATATTCAACCTCCATTCCAAAATATTGTTGAAGGTAAGACATTCTTTCCATGGACATCTTATTCTTTCCACACAACACTAAGCTTGCTCTGATGTAGTCCTTATGGAGCAAGGTAGAGATGGTGGTTGGACCCCGGTTGTGAATCAAAGGCGAGGAGGTGGATCTCGGGGATATGAAGAGAGGAGGGGTCTGTTTACTGTGTTCGTGGACAACATCCCAAGTTCTTTGGATGCAAAGTCATCATTGTTCAAGCTCTTCAATAAGTTTGGTGTAGTCAAAGATGTTTACATCCCTTCCAAAAGAAGAAAAGTGACGAATTCCAGATTCGGCTTTGTGAGATTTGACTGTCATGTTGCTTCAGACATGGCAGTTCAGAAAACTAATGGGCTTTTGGTGGATGATAAGGTTCTTGCAGTCAAGTATGCAGCTTATGACAGGAGTGTGCCTAGCATGAGAAGACCCCAGGCCAACAGTGAAGCCTTGAACCCAAACAGAGGTAAAGGTATAGTCTCACATATTGGCCACAAATCTTTTGCAGAGGCACTTCAAGGGGACTCGACCATGGTGGATGTGAAAGCTAGCATGACCGTAAAAGCCAATGAAGATGGTCATGGTTGGCTTTATGATAGTATAATTATCAGGCTCAACTTGGATTTCTCCATTAACAGTATCAGATCTGCTTTGAAGGATATTGGGTTAGATCAAGTGGTGGCCAGACAAGGGGGCGGCAGGGATGTAATACTGACTTTCAAATCCCAGGAGGAGCTCCAATCAAATATCCAAAAGATCAAGGATTGGTTCAAAGACTGGAGTCAGTTTGTTTTGGAATGGAGGCCAGGAATCCAAATAGTCCAAGAGAGATGTGTTTGGTTGAAATGTCATGGTATTCCTCTAAACCTCTGGAATAGGAGCAATATAAACAATATTGGAGCTTTGTGGGGGACAGTCCTGCAACTGGAGGGTGACCTTAGCCAACCAAAGTCATTTGCTTACTCCAGAGTTCAAGTGGTTACAACATGCATGGAGCTCATTAACAAAACCGTTCATCTGGTTTGCAAGGGTAAATTATACCCAGTTTATGTTTGTGAAGACCTTTGTGTCAATCCAGTGGAGTGTAATGGGGTTCGGAAAATTGGGCTGGATGATTGTAATAACAGCTCCAAAGTTGAGGAAAATGAATTCACAGATGGGGAGTGTAAGAGGCAGGACAATGTCGATATAGCGGTAAATCAGTTTGGCTTGTCCGATGCTGCGTTGCCTTCCTCCATTGAAGTGGCACAAAGGAAGGAGCTCTGTCACTGCAACTGTAGAGAGGCGGTGGACACAGTTGTTGAGGAGTCACGAAGTGATGTAGAGGTCAGCAGACCTACTGCAATTGGTGGGAAATGAGCAATGATGGAGGAGTGTGCACCCTGCCCAAAGAGTAATGACTATTCACTGAGGTGTGTTGAGCACGCTTCTGCAACTGGCTTGTTCAAAAGTCTCAGCGGATCGATAGATGCATTTGGGCCTGGAATTAATCTGGAGGTTGCCTTGGGCCCTCCGAATAATGATCATATTGTGCATGGTCCTGTTCGTATGCCAAATGGGCCTCTTTTAACTGTTGGTTCAAATGGGTCAAGCACTAGGAGCTTTCATGTTGAAGGCCCTGTTCTCTGTCCTGTTTCCTTCCTCAACCCAGATAGGTCTGCCAAGAAAGCTGGGAAAAAGAAGGTTCGGCTGGAAGGTTTTTCTCGGTTTGCTCGTCTCTATGGTCATCAATCTGCAGCTATCGGTAGGCTTCCATCCAAGTCCGTTATTTTTAGGCCAGCAGCAGTGGCCCTTGCACATTCTGAGCTGTCCGAGGGCGAATCAAGCATGCATACCTATCTCCTCAAGGAAGCGCAGGCCACTGTCCAATTGGGGAAAGATCTGGGAATTAATTTCTGTGGTCAAGAAGAGGGTGTGGTTGATAAGATTATTGAGATGGAGCTTAAGGATAAGGAGAGATTTTTAAAAGATGGAAATACTTAGATGTAAAACAGGGTGTAATGGGTGTGTGGAGTGGGTGTTCTGCATCAGGAGGATCCTTTTTTAGTGTTTGGGTTGTTACCAGTGGAGCTTATGAAGTGGGTGTGTGGAGTTTAGATCGGAGTAGAAGTTTTGTTTCATGGGTGTGTCGGTTGGATGGTGGTAGTGTTCTGATCTTGCAATGGGTGCTCAGAGATTGGCCTTGGGTGTATTAAGTTGCAATGGATTCTCAGTGGGTGCGTTTCTCAGTGGGGGGTGGTTTGGTGTTAAGTTCTGCTTAACCTTTATTAGCCTCTGTTTTTAGTTTGTTTTTTTGGTTTTTTTCTTTTAAAAAAAAAAAATTTGTGAGGCTGAGGGGTTGGTTGTTTGGGTGCGAGTAGCAGTAGTAGGGGTAGTTTATACTTTCCGAATCTCTCTCGATGCACTTCATCTTCCTGTACTCTTAATTTCATGCTGTTAATGAAATTTTTCTTTGTTGATCAAAAAAAAAAACTCCCTACTTTGCCATTTGAGCAGAGTCCAAACCTCAAGGCATATTAACGAGAAATGTTTTTATATTTTAAATAAACTCAATAGAATAAAAAAAAAATTCGCACACAAACATGATTACTTGTAATTGGAAAATTTGTATCCGGATCCTCCGTCGCACTCCTCTGCAGCCCATTCCTGTCGCCCTCCAAAACGACGTTGTTAACACACTCTCTTTGTTTTTGTTTTCAAAGAGTATTCCAATGTAGTGAGCCCTTTTGTGACCTCCCATTGCTTGGCTTGATGGAAAAACCTTGAAGCAGATTGGGCAATCGTGGTCCTTGTTCTTCAAGGTTTGGATTTGCTCAACTGAATTCTCATTGCAGTATTCAATCTTGGAATTTGCTTCAGTATTCTTTGATTCATCGCCCTTGTGAAACCCGTCAATGGAAAGTCCCAATTCAAACTTCTTTTCATTTTTGCTCATAAACCCAGAATCCAAATCACCAAATTCAGATTCATTCTTTTGAATCAAAGAATTCCCGGAACATGATAAACAAGAATCCAATTTCTTTCTCGGTTTCTTGATCTTCCGAGTGTCATCTTCATCCTCACTTTGATGCAATGCTTTAGCTTCAAACGGTACAGCGAAATTCTCGGATTCGGCGGAGGCGCTTTGGGGGATAGTGAGGTAAGGGGATTCAATTTTGATTTATATATATATATATATATATATAAATGTGAGATATATATATAAATGTTCAATTTTGATTTATCATTTGGATGTTCAAAAATCTGGATATATATATAAATGTTCAAAATTGGATGTTCAAAATCTGAGAAATAGACTGTACGGGGAGCAAATATTCCGGCAAGCCCGTACTCCTTTCTTCCAAGCTCCTGCCTGTCCGATCGACTTGCGAGCACAACGGTGGTGAGCTACTCGGCGGTGTGTGGCCAGAATACCCCTCCGACGATCAAGTTAGACACACACAGGGACAGAGAGAAGAGAGAGGATTGAGTGTTTAGTGTAAATCTCACCAAATATTCATCTGCCTTAGCGTGGGGGGAGCAGACTCGCTTATATACCTTCTGCGCCCTAAATCTACTCCCATTAGTCTCTCGACACGTGGTGCTGCTATCCCATCTGTCAGCACAAATCTAGCTGAACATCACTTAACTGCCAGCCCACACCACTGGGAGCTCGGCAGTCGGGCTGCAGCATCTCGGTTGTCAACGGCAGTGCTGCGCAGCTAGCCAGAGCGCTCCGCTCGCCAAGCTCAATGACGACCGAGCTCAGTTGTATTCCGGCTCAGCTGAGCTCGGGACAAGTCATGCTGGTTAGCCTTCGGCCTTCCTGCCGAGCTAACGCATGAACCGTGGAACCCAGTGAGGCAGCGGACATCTCGACCGAACCTCACTTGACCGCTAGTACGACATCAATTATGCAACTATGCCATTACCGAACAACTATGCCATTACCGAGCAAGTAGCTCAGTTTCACAGCAACTATGCCATTACCGAGCGAAAATCCTTTCTAGATGGGCCAAGGCTGCCACGACCCAAATGTGTTCGGCCCACAATTTGTCCGGCCCTTACCACAGCCCAATCCAAATCATAAATCTCCCTCTCAATTGCCTCTTAATTCCGTCCACGCAAGCGTGACTGGGATTACCTGTTCTGTCCGGGATAACTCTTCCTCGATTCATGGTCTGCTAGACGGTGACCGGGCTAGTTAACATACCTGTCTTCAAACTTGCCCGGTCGACGCCTCGACTTGCCATCCTGTCTCTTCAGTACTGACCCCGCCATCAATAAGGACACGTGTCGCTCGCTCATTGGCTTCGAGCAGCCAACCGTCCCTTCACATTCAAATTTTGGCAGTCTTTCTCCCATATATACGCCATTTTCTCTTCATTTCATTCTTACTGTTCCTCCTTCATTCCAAGCGTTCCAGAGCTCCTATGCCTCTTGTAAGCCTCGTTCCTGCCTTTCCTTGCATTTGTGTTCAAGAAGGAAGCTGCCCTTAACTGGTAAGTCCTTCGAGTCTCTTTTTGTTATTTTCATTTGGTATTTCACATATTAGGGCACAAAATCCGTGGGTTTTAGGACATAACCCTCCCAAAACCCACACTTGTCCCTATTCTCTTTGTTGTTCTTCAATCCCAGTGATGAACACATGAACACACGAAGAACTGCAGCGGACCGGGCTCCAGGTCGCCTTTTGATCCAAAAAACAATTAGACCAAGCAATTTACAAGTTTGCCAAAACCTTAGTAGAAACCGAGGTAGACAAAGGACTTGGCTGCTCGACCGGGCTAACAACTAGTCTTCTTGAGCGACCGA